CTCCCCCCCCCCCCCTATTGGCGCAAAAAAAAAGAAGAAAAAAAGAGAATGGTACAACTAATCGTCTTCTTTCTCTAATATTTTAATGAATCGTCAAAGCTTTCGCGCGGGAGGGGGCAAATGAATTCAGACAAGGATTAAGAGTCGAGAATGGTAAAATTAATCCTCTTCTTTCTCTAATAATTAAATGAAACATCAAAGCTTCCACGCTTCGCGCAGGAGGGGAAAAACTGCTTTCAAACAAGGTTTAAGAGTCGAGAACGGTACAACGAATAGTCTTCTTTCTCTAATAATTTAATGAAACGTTAAGCTTCTGCGCTTTGCGGGGGAGGGGAGAAGCAAGACGTGTTAAAATTAATGAACCAGCGTACTCGTATCGCAGTGGCGGATCTAGGGGAGCCGAAACGGCCGCGGCCCCCCCCCCCCCCCCTATTGACGGTGCAAAAAAAAAAAAAAGAGGAAGAAAAGAAGAGAAAAAGAAAGGAGAAGAGAAGATAAAATGGAGAAGAGAAAAGAAAGAAGAGAAAAGAAAGAAGAGAAAAGAAACAGAGAGAGAGAAACAAAAGGAGGGAAAAAAAGAAGAACCCCCCCCCCCCCTCCCTCCCACTCCGGGGTCGGAGGGACCGAAATTGTGTTCCCAAAATCTTGGATAAAGGGTTACTTTTCACGCAACAAAGTCCGGCCCGTAATACACAAAAACCCGGCCCGTACTGACTTTACACACTGGAGATAGAGGGGTGCTTTCAAAGAGAGGGAACATACATGCGCGTACCCTAGATAACACTGAGTGGGTGGGGGGGGGGGGAGAAAAGTCGGGTGAGAAAGGGGAAAAGACAAGGAAATGGCTGTAATCGGGAGATTTGGGGTCATTACAGAAGGCTTAGCAAACGTTATTGCATAGAGGGGGCCGGGCCGGCCGCATAGAATCTCGAGCCGCAGATTCAAAGTTAAACGTTAAAAGCAGCCACTGCGTTACAAAGGTCATCACTCTTTTGTGAGAAATTTGAAAAGGGCACAATATTTTGGACGTCTTTTAAATAGAAGTTATATAATCAACAGTCAAATTTTAAATTAACGGTAGGGCCGCTTCACAACTCTTATTTTGCCCTTCATTTGGATTCAGCTCGTACCAACTCGCTTGTGCTTGTATTTGAACTCATGTTGATATTAATCATGGACAGGGGCGGCAATCCTGGGCCCGATAGGGGTCACTTCCCCCAGGAAATTTAGAAATGTAGCTAGAAAGAAATATAGCGGAAAGAACGTACATATTGGGCTTAGGGATTTTCTAGAATGCATAATTTCAGCATTCAACATTGCTAAATCTCGCTTGCTCGCTACGCCCCGGCCCTCGCCCGATAACACAAAACTTCTTTCATTTCTACATTATTGTGTGCTATCACAATCATGATTGTTTCATTTTCCCTTTAAAGCGGGCGCTTAGCCAGGGGCAGTAGGGGCAGTAAGAGGACATACGACGAAAAATGAGCAGACAAAGAAACATTTTTGAAAATCTGACAAGTCGAAAACGGTACAACGAATCCTCTTCTTTCTCCAATAATTTAATGAAATGTCAAAGCTTCCGCGCTTCGTTCGGGAGGGGGGTGCAAATTAATTCAGACAATGATTAAGAGTCGAGAACGGTACAACGAATAGTTTTCTTTCTCTAATAATTTGATGAAACGTTAAGCTTCTGCGCTTTGCGCGGGAGGGGAGAAACTGAATTCAGAGAATGGAGCAACGAATCATCTTCTTTCTCGAAAAATGTCATTAAACTATGAAAGTTCAAAGATCCCGCGCTTCGCGTGGGAGGGGGAAAACTGAATTCAGCCAAGGAATACGAGTCGAGAATCGTACAACGAATCGTCTTCTTTCTCTAATATTTTATTGAGCGTCAAAGCTTCCGCGCTTCGCGAAGGAGGGGGGAAAATGAATTCATCAAAAGGATTAAGAGTCGAGAATGGTAAAATGAATCCTCTTCTTTCTCTAATAACTAAATGAAACATCAAAGATCCCGCGCTTCGCGCGGAAGGGGGAAAACTGCATTCAAACAAGGAATAAGAGTCCGGAATGGTACAACGAATCGTCTTCTTTCTCTAATAATTTAAAGAAATATCAAAGCTTCCACGCTTCGCGCGGGAGGGGAAAAACTGCTTTCGAACAAGGTTTAAGAGTCGAGAATGGTACAATGAATCCTCTTATTTCTCTAATAATTTAATGAAATGTCAAAGCTTCTGCGCTTTGCGCGGGAGGAGAAAAACTGCTTTCAAACAAGGTTTAAGAGTCGAGAATGGTACAACGAATCGTCTTATTTCTCTAATAATTTTAAACGTCAAAGCTTCCGCGCTTCGCGCGGGAGGTGGGAAACTGAATTCATCAGACAAGGATTAAGAGTCGAGAACGGTACAAAGAATAGTCTTCTTTGTCTAATAATTTAATGAAACGTTAAGCATCTGCGCTTTGCGCGGGAGGGGAGAAACTGAATTCAGAGAAGGATTAAGAGTCGAGAATGGAACAACGAATCATCTTCTTTCTCTAATAAGGTCAAAGCTTTCGCGCTTCGCGCGGTAGGGAAGAAACTGAATTCAGAGAAGGATTAAGAGTCGAGAACGGTACAACGAATCATCTTCTTTCTCTAATAATTTAATGAAACATTTAAAGTTCTGCACTTCGCGCGTAAGGGGGGGGGGGGGGGCAGCGAGCGGCCTGAATATAAATTTTGATATCTTTTCTCGTTTATTTTGGTGATAAATAACACTTTCACAAAATGCTTATGCTTACAATTTTACTCGCTCGCTTCGCTCACTTGCCGAATTGTGAAACCCAAAAAATACTTTTTCGAGCAAGAGGCTATAGCCCCCCCCCCCCCCCCCCCCTCTCCCCGGTGAAAATGTCAAAAATTGGGTTTGGTGCTTCTACTATGACCTTGTCAATATTGGTATGTTGAGTTGAAAAAACGGTCTGCGCAATTTTTAAATTTCCGGACCCCCCCCCCCCCCCCCTATTGGAAAATCCTGGATCCGCGCCTGATATCGTATGGATTTTTGGTATGGAGGGGGGTTGTGAGCACTCCGATTTTTTTTTCTTACTCAACAACCCCCCCCCCCCCCCTCCCATCCCCTTTTCCTTTTTCCCTGTTGAGCCCCCCAAAAAATTGCATACGATCTCCCTCGAAGTAGTTTCCCAAAGTTGACAGCCCTGGTTAATCTACGTTAATACCTTATATCTCGCTCGCCCCCCCCCCCCCTTCTTAGGGGTGGGGGCCCAAATTTGAAATTTAGTGTGCTGAAATTTGAAAATCGTGCCGGCCAATATTTCGCTCAGTGTGGGGGCCTAACCCTAACCCTAACCCTATAGCCCTCGGAAATTTGAAAAATCGCACCCCCCCCCCCCCCCCTTGAACGCCAGGGGGAGGGGTCTATCTCCAATAAAAGGTAAAATTAACACGTATTTTTCAGGGGTTTTACACATCAAATTATCGTCGGATGAGCATAAATTTATACCTTATTTGTGACACTTGTAGGTCACGAATTGGTGTGGGGTCCAGGTGGCGGAGCCCCCGGAAGCTCAGGGGTTTCGGGCATCAAATTATCGTCGGATGAGCATAATTTTATACCTTATTTGTGACACTTGTAGGTCACGAATTGGTGTGGGGTCCAGGTGGCGGAGCCCCCGGAAGCTCAGGGGTTTCGGGCATTAAATTACTGTCAGATGAGCATATTTAGATACCTTATTTGTGACACTTGCAGGACACAAATTGGTGTTGGGTCCAGGGGGCGGAGCCCTCAGAAGCTCAGGGGTTTATACATCAATTTATCGTCAGATGAGCATGATTTTATACCTTATTTGTGACACTGGCAGGTCACGAATTGGCGTGGGGTCCAGGGGGCGGAGCCCCCGGAACCTCAGGGGTTTGGGGCAATAATTTCTGTCAGATGAGCATATTTAGATACCTTATTTGTGACACTTGCAGGACACAAATTGGTGTTGGGTCCAGGGGGCGGAGCCCTCAGAAGCCTAGGGGTTTATACATCAATTTATCGTCAGATGAGCATCATTTTATACCTTATTTGTGACACTGGCAGGTCACGAATTGGCGTGGGATCCAGGGGGCGGAGCCCCCGGAACCTCAGGGGTTTTGGGCAATAATTTCTGTCAGATGAGCATATTTAGATACCTTATTTGTGACACTGGCAGGTCACGAATTGGCGTGGGGTCCAGGGGGCGGAGCCCCCGGAAGCTCAGGGGTTTTGGGCAATAAATTAATTTCAGATGAGCATGATTTTATACCTTATTCGTGACACTGGCAGGACACAAATAAGTGTTGGGTCCAGAGGGCAGAGCCCCCAGAAGCTCAGGGGTTTTTATACATTAAATTATCGTCGGATGAGCATATTTTATACCTTATTTGTGACACTGGCAGGTAACAAATTGGCGCGGAGTCCAGGGCGGAGCCCCCAGAAGCTCAGGAGTTTTAGGAATTGTATAACAGTCAGACAAGCATGCAGGGGCCCGCCGTAGTGTCCCTGGTTTGGTCGAGGAGGTGGAGCCCCGGAAACTTAGGGATTTATTTAGGCATTTAATTATGGTAAGATGAGCATATTTTGATACCTTTGATATCTTAACCCTTTTATTTCCTTCTTTTTTGTTGTCCTTCTTTTTTGTTCTTCTTTTTTTTTCCCCTTTTTTTTCCCTTTTTTTTTGCCAGGGCGGGGGGGGGGGGCCGGCCCCCCCCCCCCCCCCTGTATCCGCCACTGCATGCACCCCCAATTAGTTTTATTTAGGGTACGCGTATATCGTATGCATGTTCCCTCCCTTTGAAAGAAAGCACCCCACCCCCAACCCAATTCCGGTGTGTAAAGTCAATACGGGCCGATTTGTTGTGTATTAGGAGCCGGACTTTCTTGTGTGAAAATTACCCATTTACAGGAGATTTTGGGAACATGAATGCGGAGAAGATCGAGGGCCGCCCCCGCCTCCCCCCTTGTACGCTCGACGTACCGGAAGTAGATCTCTGATACATCAACAAGGAGTGAGGCTGTGAAGTCCTAATGTGTTGGTACGTAACTGCCCAATTATGTTTTGATTTGCTGAACACATATCTGACATGAAATTTATAATTAAGTACGGTAGTTTCATTATATATCTATCTTAGACATAAAATGTGTTAATTGTTACTGAAAATGTTATGAATGTCGGGTTTGCGGAGCTGTTAGACTTAAAATTGGCGATGGCACTGAGCTGAGTGAGTGTGCTCGTGCGGATAGAGCACAGGCACAGCTTACTCACGGGATGGGACAGGCTCGGCGAGATTGACGTGCGCCTGCCCTGTAGGTATGAGGGAAGCGAGCTTGGCGCTAGTGTTCTTTCGTATCCATTTTTGACCCGTAACTCCAGCGTGGAGATACCCTACTAAAACATACCCCAAAACCAACTTACCCCTTATCTTCATCAATTCTCGCTACCCCAAATAGCGATTCTGCCGAGATCCGGGGAAAATCCTGAAAACGCGCATTGCATTATTATGGGATAGCTTTTCGACATTACAGCTTCCTGTGCAGGCGCTATATTACTAGGCGCGATAGCGCAAACGTAAAACGCCGTCGCCACACAACGTGTATGCACCGAATATGTCGTCTGCTCGGTCTTGTTTTTTTTTCGCAAATATTTCAACGTTTATTTGAACATTTCATTCGTTGTTTTTTGCGTCTTTTGACATCAGTGACGATGGTTTTCTTTTGTGAGGCTGCACAGTGCTGGGCTCATGATTCCAAGCGTAAGAACCCTGATTTTAGCGTGCGTGAAAACTCTGCACAGCGAACACAGGCGCTAGCGCCAGCGGGATGGGACTCTATACCGGAAGTTGTAGTGACGACCTGAGAGAGTGAAAATTACCTCGTCTCGCGAATTTCGAGATTTTCGTACCTATTTAGGGTAGCGAGAATTGTTCAAATAATGGTCAGGATATAAGGTCGTTAATCGTTATATTTCTTACCCCTTTCTTGAGACAATTTTCTTATCTTTCTTGGAGAATTTTTCCTAAAAACTAAGACTAGTAAGAGTAAGACAATAGACCCTATTTACTTTCTCACAGATTTCACAGCAAACTGCTGCACAATTACAATACAATTGCATACCGTACTGACGAAGGGGTGCGGGCGCATGAGCGTGCGTGTAACTATCGATTGTGAAGCTATTATCATGTATAAAGTAATGTAGAGTATTACTGCGGTCCTACATTTAATTTGCCTGATGCTGAACCAGAAAAAAATAACCTGCCATGATTACTCTTTATCATTCATTTTATTTTTGGGCCAAATATATTTGAAGAGCAAATATTGATGATTTAATGAGAGAATTGGATCATAGATATATTACTTCTAAATAAAGTACTAACTCCAGGGAGCTCCAATTCAAACGGCAGATTGGGTCACATTTTTTCACAATGTAAAGAGAAAGTCATTACAATTTTGACTTACAATATTTTTCAACTCCTCTGGCCATCTTTCCAACCACTTGAGATAAAAATTTGAAGAAGTCTTCAATGGGAAAAAGGGTGATTCTTCGTCCTAACCCGAAGATTCATCATTCATCCATGTTGTATCGTCGATTCAACATGGCGAAGAGATGGTATGCATGCACGGTAGCGGCGCAGCAAATATGAACATTCATATTAAAGATTGCTGTTAACTCGAGAAAATGCTAAATATTCATGAATCAAAGAGACAGAGCCCTTCTCAACCTCTTGCATATTCAGCAATTGCTAGCGAGCGGCGCTCTATATCATGAATATTCATATTTGCTCCGCCACTACCGCACATGCGTACTTTCTCTTCGCCATGTTGAATCAACGATACAACATCGATGAATCATCGGGTTAGTAGTAGTGCTGTAGCCGAACCGCCGAACCGAACGGAAGTTCGCCGAACATGGCACTTCCGAACCGAACCGAACCGATCGCAAAGGCCTGGTTTGGATGTTTGGCCGAAAAAATGTAAACGTTTTTGCAAGCTAATAAACTTGTCATTTTGTACCTAATTTTCATGTCATGATTGCTCATTTTATTTTTACCTTTTTCCCATTTTCCACCTTTGTGACTTATGCCTATCCAGTGGTAGGCGCAACTTCACTGGCGCCATTTAAATCCTAAATCCTGACCACGCTACGTCGTGTTCGCAAGCCCATGTGCGTGTTCAAAACAGGTTCAGCTCAAACCCACTCAACAAAAAAATAATAGTTTAATTGTAACCATTTCGGACAAATTTTATAATATAAATAAATATATATTCTAGTATGGTATTATTTATTTATCCAGGAAAAATAGGGATTTTATATTTTTCCTATTGAAAATAAAAACTTATAAAAAAACAGTTATTGACAAGCCTGAGTCTCTGTTCAAGTTGGCAGCTTTCATGACTCTAACATCAGACAAAAACCGTCTCGGAAAATCTTTAAAAAATATTATTTATCGACAAATTGAAAACATGATTCTTTTAAAATTGAAAATAAAAACACGATTCAAGACGGAAATACGAATGTAAGTAGTAGGCCTATTTTTCTTCGCAAATAATTACGTTCAGAGCAGTTTTTTAATGTGAAATTAGTGCCGGTCGGAAGCAGTGTGCAGAAGTCCTCCGTGCTGGTTGGGCTCGGCAGGGCGAGCGGCCCGCCTAGTGCCGACCGCCGTGGCTATAATGCTGCTTGCTATTATATTACCGAACCCCGAACTGAACCAAGTTCGGGTGAAAAATTGCCAAACTCTGCCGAACCGAACCGAACACGAACATAGCGTCTGACTTACAGCACTAGTTAGTAGTACTAGTAGACTAGACTGTTATTAAGTCTGATAGACTAGGTTCTATCTAGTACTCATGTTCAGGTCTGATAAAAACCTGATTTAAATCAGTTTCCTGATTTTGGGGGGATTTTTTCCAGATTTTTGTTTTCTTCCCGATTTTATCTTAATTTTCCCCTTATTTTCTATATTTTTCCCAATTTTTCTTACTCAAAAGGGGAAAATGTTGTTAAATGCCGTTTTTGGCCCTGAATCCTCTTTTTTACTCAAGGGGGGACGTTATCATCAGTGGGAAATAAGTGCAAAGTTAACTTTAATAGTCGACCTTAGATTTGCATTCATTAGAACCATGTTTATTTTGTTGAATATCAACTCAAATTGAAATGTGCATGATTGTCATGTGTCTGGCCAGTTTTCTCACCAATTTGAATTCCTATAAATACCTACACTTTATGCAGAACCAATGTAAACAATGTACAGTATAAAATTTGCCTTATAGACTGAATTACATGTACATATATATGTAATTTTTCAAGCCTTTGAAAATAAAGTGTGTAGCTTATGACCCCTCCCCCATCATAATATAAGTTTTCGTTTTCGTTTTCTGTTCAGACTTGAACTTGCATTGATCATGGGTAAGATATGCAAAGTAGTGGTGTGCGGGTCAGCGGGGGTGGGGAAGACTGCCGTCTTGGAGCAGGTCATCTATGGAACACACCGTGTCGGACAGGTTGGTATCCACCACGGCTATTATTGTAATCATTTCATTATTGCTAACAACATTAATAAAAGCATTTTATCATTACTGGTATTATTAACATTAAAGGTAGAGACCAGTTTTGGAAACGCCCCCCTCTCAAAAAATGAAATGGAAGCTCTTATTACCAATCATGTGAAAGAATATGTTTTGACTAATACGTGATCATACAAATTTTTCCAGGAACCCGCCTACTAATATATTTGGTAAATTATTATATCTATCTGGACTGGATAGATATAGCGTAGTCCAATATACATCTTTCTGTGTACAGTGCTTGTAACTGTACCAAGACTGGGCCAAATTTCTTATCATTTTGATGATTCCAGAACTTTGCAGTACAATATGCTAGATGATCAAACTTTTCTGATCGATTCCACAACGTTTCTTTCACAATGTAATCGCATGACCAGAACTGGTCTATACCTTTGATATCGCTATCATCACCATCACTGTAATCGTTATCCTCATTATATCGTCAGCATCAATATCATACCATGATCATCACCATCACCATCATCATCACCATCATCATCATCATCATCACTGTCAGCACCATCATCAACATCATCACCATATCATCATCATTATCATCATCACCATCATCATCATCATTATCATCATCATTATCATCATCACCATCATCATCGTCGCCTTTCATCTTTATCATAGGGGTTTTCATTAATCTTATATACGGCGTCACTTTAAGGAGATAACCATTTTATCTAATTGTTTAAACATTTCTGTCAAATAATCTCTGACTATGGATGTTTTGAAGCACATACTTTGTGCAAATATCAACACAAGGATTTGATCAATTCAGCTTTGCTGAGTTCAATCTGGCCCCAGCTCCAAGTTAACAAATCCTTTAACAAATAATAATATGCCATACTTATATGGCGCGTATGGCGCGTATGGCGCGTATGTCCGTATGCAGTGTAGTGGAGAGAACGAAAATAAAAAAAAAATATTGGAAAGAGTGAGACACTCAGCACACTCCCTGAAGTCCTTGTTAATAATTGGATATTTACTACAAAGAAATGTTCACAATTTTTAATATTTTCTGGCAATTTATGTCAAAGCTCTGCTGATTCAACCTGAAACGTGCGTGACCCAAACTTTGTGCTTAATTGAGGGGTAGTTAGGAGAGACTTTTGCGAGGAGCTGTAAGTTTTTGGTTGATTCTGTGAGAAATTTCAGAACAAACGATGAAACCATTTTTTAATATTTTTTTTATAGGAAACTACTTGTCCTACGATTGAAGACATTTATGTAGCCAACATTGAGACGAATAGAGGAAGCAGAGAAAGAGTCAGGTTTTACGACACCAAGGGCTTGGTAAGATACATGTATGCCACGCTGATTTTATGTCTAAACGAATGAAAACTGTTGGCAAGAAAAGTCCTCTGCATTTTCACAACTCTGTGTTATAAGATACAAAAATTTGAAGCATATTACAATTACATCATGATAAACCAGAATGAGGTTATAGGCTTTATTGTTGGCAGATCTTGCAAATTAAAAAATAAATTATTCCAATTTTATGATTATTTTTAAAACTCATGATTGTTTTTTAATAAATATTGAGAGAAGTTCTGAGGGTAGAATTGCATTTCAATAGAAACTGGCTAAATATTATTGTGATTTGATATGCAGTGGTTTGGATAGATCTGCAAAATTCTAACAAAAATATAGTGAAACACTAATGAAAAGTTGCCAGAAAATTTGCCAGATCTACCACGCAGAGTGGCAATGTTTCTTGCTGTATGACATGTCATTGTTGAATTCCTGAAGTTGAAATGTGTGTTGTGAAATCATATACCTTTGGTGCATTTGTTGTCATTTTGTTTTTTGATCTTGTTCTAGCCTTTGCCATGAACAGCATTATCGATAACGTCATTGACTGTGTCGTCCGAAATATTTCACTGCATTGACAATGTGGATGATAGTGCCATTATCAGTTTCATTACCTTTTGAATTGTCTTGTCATTCAAATCATAATAATAATAATTATAATAATAATAATTATAATATTCCGCATTTAATATCATAATGATAATAATAATATTCCGCATTTAATATAGCTTAATATATCGATGACGTCTCTAAGTGCTGTACAGATATTATTATTACCCCGATCTTTGGATTCAGGCTTGCCCGCAAACATTGTTTCCACATTTTCCACTCCTTGGGGAGCATTCAAGCCAGGCACCATTTTACACATGCTCACATTGCTGAGCAAACTACATTAATGTTCGCATCCTATCAGGTACCCATTTAAAACCTGGGTGGAGAGTGGCAAATGTAGATTAATGTCTTGCCAAAGGACGTTAGTGCTGGGCTTGTATACCATTGTTGATATGCAATATCACCCTTGTCATTGTTAATCACAGTGTCATTGCTATCTTCATTGTTATTGCCATTTTCTTTTTTTCTCCAGACTTCAATCAATCCAGATCTCCCCAAGCAGTATCTCAGCATGGCAGATGTAAGTTATACAGTGAAACCTGTTTATAAAGACCGCTCAAGGGAAACAAGAAAAGCGGTCATTATAAGCAGGTGGTCTCACTATGAACATGACTGACAAAGAAAGCGGACAAAATATACAGTTCCTCAGGTACACAAAGGAACATCCCTTCACTGCTATTATGTAAAAATGTGTATAACAGGTGTCACATGCACATTCACCTTTTTACATAATAGCAGTGAAGGGATGTTCCTTTGTCTACCTGAGGAACTGTATATTTTGTCCGCTTTCTTTGTCCGTCATATTCATAGTGTCTTTATGTACAGGTTCATATAATACAGGTGTCAATGAGAAACTATATTAGAGGGAAACAAAAAATGCAGTCTTTATAGACAGGTGGTCACTAAAGCAGGTTTTGCTATTCTTGGGCTCTTTAACATGTCTCATATATTAACCCTTTGGATACATCCGTTACATTTTATGCAGAATCGTTTAGATATGTGTTAGGACAAAAATATGTGCAGTGAACAGATGACATAAAACTTTTGGAGAATGGGAATGCAATATATTTTTCTGGCAGGATGTGGTGATGGTAGTGATTAGAGTTACAGTTTGGATGTAGATTATTTGTGCCTACCGGTAAATATAAGTGATGGAAGTAGAAAGAGGGGTAGGCCAACTAGGACACGGACTGATAACTTCAAGCATTGGACGAGCATGTCATTTGAGCAGCTTACTAGATCAGCTGAAGACACGAAGTTATGAAGAACCTGTGGCTCAAGGTCCATTTCATTTGTTGCCCCAACAATGACCTCCATGCTATAGGACATAGATATAGAAATCTAAGTCTGCTCCCACCCCAGCCCCATTTCACATTTTAAAAAGGGTTAGTCCATACAAAACAAGAACATCAAAACCCAGACCCTCTACAAATTTCAAGTGTGGAGATCCATGTAAATTGAGCATTTGCTTTGATAATCTAATCGTAGATTTATGATGTAAATGTCTCTTCCAAAATATGGGGGTCGTTTAAAGACCCATTGTACCACTTGTAGCTACTTGCTCCCTGTATATAGAAAACAATGCCTAATCGGTGACCATTGGTCCCCCATGATCCTCTTTTTCTTATATTAATTGAGAGCCGAGTTGATGAGATAGCCACCTGTCAGTGACCACCTTGGGTGGTCTAATTCCTCCTAGCCAAACTAATACCGTCGGCTTTTAAAGCTGTATGTCTTAACTTGGTTTCTGTGTGAATTATCTTGTTGCAGGGGTTCTTATTGGTATACAGCACTACCAGTCAGGAGTCCTTCAAGATGCTTGAACACATCAAGAAAGAGATTGATAAGCTCAAAGACAAGGACAAGAAGGAGGTATGTATTACATTTAAAGGGAAAGTCCACCGTGGTATTCTTTTGGTTTTAATAGAAGCATTTTAATAGAATATTGTCGAGAGCCATTTTTAGCCTTCAAAAACAAAATAAGTATTTTAGACTTTTCATAAGTTACACAGCAAGAACATGAAATCTCCTTGATATAGAAAATTTGAATGATTTGAATTAACATGTTATGCCTTTTAAAATAACTTTTACAAAATATTTTCAAAGATGCTAACGGCTTTTTACTATTGTACAAAACCTGATATTCGGCTTTCGAGCCGCGATTGACTTTTATTTCAATCAACCATTACTACTACTTTCCGTAATTTTTCAGTCCAACTTAGAGTTAAGTTCAATTTAGGATATTTGTGAAACACCCCCCTGGGATGAAAATTCCAACAGTGTCTAACTTCAGACATGTAAAACCTGTGGGGGTTGTCAGAATCCAACACACATGCTATCGCTAAACGAAGAGCTGAGATTGTTGCATGGGGTCCTAGTGTATAGTTCTGATCTGGGCCCCGTCTTATAAAGAAGTGTGATTGATCCAAATCAATAGCAAATCCGCTTGTCAATCGCAAGTATACAGTTCCCTATCTCTTATGTACATAGTTGCGATTAATATCAACTCTTTATAAGACAAGGTCTGTGTGTTCTTTTCTGATATTTACTACAAAATTCACAGGAAATCATGGATGAAATATGAAATTATCTTGCACATGTGTAGATGTTGATACAAGAGAAAATGACGAGGCTAAATTTGACATGTTTCATGCCGATTTTTCTTTTTGACTCCTAAACTGTATATTGAGCACCTCTGGGATGCTGGAACACCATATATTTATAGGTGTCGTAGTCGAGTGGTTTAAGCACTTCCCTTGAAATGCAAAGCTTGTGGGTTTGATCCCCGACACAGCACTTATTTTCCTTTGGCAAGGTATTAATCTACATTTTCCTCTCCATATGCAGGAAAGAAATACTGTAATTGCCATATATGCCCTCACAGTGTCATATGGTAGAAATACTCCCCAGGGAGTGGAGTTGGTGCTAATTGTGCGTGAGTGAATCCGATGACTGGGATAATGATATCTGTAAAGCACTTAGAGACAAATTATATTTTGCTATATAAATCCATCTTATTATCATTATTTTCCCCTCGATTTGCATCGATGGTCAACAATATCCTGCAAAAAGTCTGGCACAAGATCAAGACAAAACACAAAATCCCACCAAAGTATTGAACATATTTGGTTTCTGTCCCTCTCTCTATCTCTCTCTCTCTCTCTCTCTCTCTCTCTCTCTCTCTCTTAGATATCAGTGGTGATGATTGGTAATAAAGTCGACCTAAATCATCAGAGGCAAGTAGAGTTCAGAACAGCCAGTGACTGGGCCGTCAAAGAAAAAAGTAAGTTAACCCTTTACATGCCACACGAGTAATCTACCTGTGCCACATTGTTTTGATCATTTTCCTATTTTTATTTCCTTGTTTTCTCATTTCTTAACTTTGTAAGTTGTCATTCCATAGAATTCAATGTGCCTGGCAGGACATACACCCAGTCAAAATGTTCATGTTTTTTTGTTTTTTTAATTTTATAATGAGATAGGGTAAGAAATTGTTGAGAAATGTCACTGTAAACAATTTAGATGATGTTTGGTTAGGAGATTTTGTCTAAATCAGTAAATACTTCAACAACAAAAAATATATACCGTAAATCTCTGTGTATAAGACACACTTTTTTTCTGCCGGAAAAAATTCAAAGGTCGGGGGTTATCTTATACACAGGTACAGGATATTTTGAGTTCTCAAAATGCTACTTTTTAGTGGTTTTTCGAAAATCTCTGTGTCTCAACATGAATTACATAATGCGAAATAAAGAATAGGATCTACTATTTGAAGTTTGAAGGGAAGAGAGTTTGTTTGATTTTGTTTTTTTCAGTCTCGATAAATTATGCCCCTACGCATAGCACTTTGTCGGCCGAAGCTCTCCCGTGTCTTCAGCTCACTCACTCAACCGTATCATGCAGCTCACTCACACGGGGGAAATCGACTCACCACTCGAAATCTAGCCTGTCCAAATTTCTGTTTAGACTCAGAGCAAAATTTCTCTTTAATTTTTAGTAGTTTTAAAAACAACATTGTTACTATTATTTGTGACAAGTTCACAAGCACTTCAAATGCGCCTCGTAATAAATTAAAGTCCTTCCCTGCATGGCTTGGGTGTCCAAACGTACCTTACTCAGCGCTGAAATAAGACGCTATATATCTGTGATCTAGCTTGCTGCCTTTAGTTTTGGCAAAAAAGAAAAACCAAGAGCATCTTATACACAGAGATACACATGATAGCTTAATTTACATTGAGCACGTACTCGCCACATTGGATGCTCAAGGCCGGGATTTTGAGGACAGGCCTACTGTTATCCCAGCTTTACTGCTGTTGTCCTAATAGCCCAGAAGAAGATGGTCGAATGTTGCGTAACACTTATCAAAATGACAACTATCGTACAACAACCAATTTTTGTTTCTGGTGGTGGGAGGGGGTAAACATAGGTCCTGACAGTTTGAGGAGCTGAAAGCGCTCAAGAAAAAATTCAGAAAATCACAGACTACGCCTGGGTGGAGAGTGGCAAATGTAGATTAATATCTTACAAAGGGACATTAGTAGCAGGCTTAGACTTGAACCACGAGAAGTGTGATCCACCGTTCAGTGCGTTATCTATCAGACCATGACACCTCAAAACGTATACCATCTCAGGAACCCTTTTAAAGCCCCACTGCACTACTTGCGCCCTCTATATCAGAAACAATGCCTAAGCGGTGACCATTGGTCCCCCAAGGTCCCCTTTTTCTTATGTAAATTGAGAGCTGATTTGATGAGATAACCACCTGTCACTGACCTTGCAGGGAGGTCTAATCCCTCCGGGTCAAACTAGTGCAGAGGGGATTTAAAAGATTTTTATTGATGTGATTTTCATTTCCTTTTTCCTTCTATTTTGAATGCAGTCCAATTCTATGAGGTGACGGTAGCCAATAGGAGTAGTCTTGTGCAGCCGATCGTCTCTCTTACATCTAAGCTCACTATCCCTCCAAGTAAGTGGATTTGTGTTGTTTATTGCTCATGATAAGTAACCAAATCACCATTCACGTTGTGTGTTTGTGATTCTATGCTGGTATTTAAAATATCAGCTATACACCTGTAAGACCTGGGGCCCTCCAGGCTCGTGCAAATCATGGTCACAAATCTACAGAATTTACATTTTTTGGACAATTCATTATTGAAGGAAAAAATATTATCTTAAGATCATAATGATGAGAGCAAACAGTGGCATGAACGGCCTGCCATATTTAAGTCCAACGTAAAGTCGATCTTAGTCTCTGTGAAACACTCCCCTGATGTACTAAAACGCTAAGAAGCTCATCTGTACTTCCGGTATGATAATGAGCGCCAACTCGTGGCTACTAGCAGACAACTGGAATTCTTGATTACTGCATACCTGAAAATCAGAGAGGAGGGCGATCTGTTTTGCCAATTATGACCTGGATTTTTTTCTCTTCCATTGTCCATGAAAGTAGGTAGGATTGATATATACTTTGGAAGTTGTTTTATAAAGAGTTTATATAACATTTATTTAATCATTTTGATTAAATTGTTCTTATTCATCAAAAGCATCATGTACAACAACAGAAGTGGACGCAAATTTTTCAGCTATTTTTGCACTTTCTGCTTGTGTACAATTTGTATTTCAGAGTATTCTGGATCAAAAGTTACAATATAATATCGCTATAAGGTGAGGTGTTTAAAAATTGTCAGTGGATTCTCATTTTTTTCTCTTTCAATTTTTTTTTTGCTCTACAGCCAAATCAACCTTCTCAATATCAGTGCGGAATTTTAAGCCAAAACAACTGCAAAGCTTTGGCGATTCATGACCACAGACCCACCCCTTCATATTGATGTCGTGAAAGAGGAATCTGAAGCAATATCAGTGCGGAATTTTAAGCCAAAACAACTGCAAAGCTTTGGCGATTCATGACCACAGACCCACCCCTTCATATTGATGTCGTGAAAGAGGAATCTGAAGCAAGAACACACTCACAAATGTGCAAGGTTATAGATAGATAACTTTGCACATCTTACGTCAGTTCTGCAGTTCATACCTATGAGGCCAGTGTGAATTCTCAATCGTGATTGAGAGTTTGTAAAGGAGTAAGATTGACGGCCAAAACCGCTTTAAAATTCTACTTTATCAAAGCGATAGCCGTCATGTTGTGTGGAAATAGGATATTTTATCATGCTACAGTGTAAAAGGAAAGTAATGTCTGAAAACCTTGTAGATTATTGTGGCACAGATACTTCCTTGGCTTTGATGCGGACTGTGGTGGAAAGTGACACAGCCCAACATGGGGATGGTTCCATATTAAAGTGGAACAAGACTAGTGGTATTTTAGTTAGCTCCATTCGTCCTGGCTCTAAAACTTCCACAGCACAAGCATGGAAGCAAGACCAGGACTAGAAAGAAGTCCTGGGCCCCGTCTTATAAACAGTTGTGATTAACTTATTTGCGATTTATATCAATTGCAACTATGTACTTAAGAGATAATAATAATAATAATAATAATATTGGATATTTATATAGCGCACAAATCCACCCTGCAGGGTGCTCAAAGCACTCCAATATTACCCTGGCTCTGCTAGGTTACCGATGTCGGTGCTCACAGCATTCAAGGAATTACTTCTGCAAACTTGCGATTGATCTGATCAATAGTAACTCTTTGTAAGACAGGGTCATGGTTTGACTGTGGACCAGATGTAACAGATCTGCTCAGTATATTTTGCCTGGTGCTGAAAATAAAACTTAAGAAAACCTAGACCTACTTAACTTCTGGGGCATAGGGATTAGACCCAAGTTATACATGTATATTGGGCTTGGGCTATTCTGGACTTGGACCGGACCAGACTTCTGCTCATTTATAGACTAAATTATATAGATGTACACAGTATAAACTGTCAATATCCAAAACAAACAAAATTATATGAAACCTGTACTTATTGTAGAAGTGTCAAAAATCATGTTTCAAGTACTGGTAACAATTTGTTTTCCAGATTTTGTGTATGTTTGAATATATAGTGAAAATAATTTACAGGTGGCAACTTCTCTAAAAATGACACAATTGTGGTGAGAGTTCCGTAAAGAAATAAAAAACCTGTCATAACATTTTACATACATTTTTGTTCTCTTTTCTGGGAGGGGGGGGGGCATCATCATAGCCTATTGACCTTTGATAGCCTTTATCTGTTGCTATCTTCAAAGTTTTTTTGAAGAAACCCTTGTTTTCAGGGGTGTTTGAATCGTTTTGTATTGTACATTTGTAAAGTAGCACAGTTAGGAGGTTTGTGTTCATCACAAGTTCTAGGCAGTAGAGTATATTTGTACAAATTTATCTAATTATTATTTATAATTATAGAATGGGCCTCCTACATAGTCACTTACGTCCACAGGAAATCTTATCACAAGGTCCCTCAAGTAAGGTCCAGAAACGTGACATCGCCAACACCACATGTATGAAATGCACTTCTTATTGTTTGACTAGGTTTGCAGTCAATTCTTGATATCGATTACTGCTTCCTTTTTGTTTCTGTTCGGTTAAAAGTTTGGAGTCAATGTTGTAGTACATTCCAAATCACTGCCTGTACCATTCCTCTTATTTGTGACAAGCTTGCTTGATTCAGATTGAACAGAGAGGCTTTGGCCATGTTTATGTATAAATCCAGTCGATCAATATCTCGGGGCCCCAACATGTTACTGTTATCAACATCCTCCCCTCCCCCCCCCCCCCCCCTCCATCAAGAAAAGGGTATGTTCTGAAAATGTCTCGTCAGAATTTGTTGTTGTATATATACTGTGCAATTGTAAACAATAGCCTTTCATATATTTACAGATAATTGTTGACTGCTGCTGCTGCTCTGATGTTATATATCACTGATCTACATTATTTGAAAACCATTTAGTTTTAGATTCACTATTATTTTTGGTAAAAAATTTACAAAAAGTAAAATGGGTCATTTAACAGTTCGATCCTGAAAAGCAAGTGATTCAAAAAGTATTTTCTTCTTCAAAATGGCTTTATTTATTTTTTTTTTCATCAATTTACCATAATAACCACCATCTCTAGTCATAGTAGGGGAAATGCAGCAAACTTCATGAAAAACAGAAAATTAATAATTTTTGACAAAAACTACAATAATTCATTATTTTTGGTGAAAAATTGAAACATTTAAAAAAAGGGTCGCTAAACAGTTTGATGCTGAAAGGTTTCTAGTAATGTTCCTCTGTGATATAACCATTGCTTTCTTTGTTGGTCAAAATTTTGATGTAATGATGTATGTTTAGTCCATTCTTGCCAAGACTGTATTCAATATGATTAAAAAGTCACATTAAAAATGTATGAATATTAAGCATATTAGGCAGTGTTTCACATATAGGTAACACAACTAAATTATTCATTCCCTTTGTAAATTTGAGGTTTTTTGTGTTTTTCATAACTCAAGAATGAAAGGTTGACACAATGAATTAGGGCCAATGTTGAATACTTATAGGTGTAATCTTGAAGATGTACATGTAACATTAAGAAACTTTCACTTATGTACTTAAAAAAATTACATAACTTGGTAAGGGTATGAATAATTTAATTAACCACAGTGATGACTTACTTTCACAATTTTATATCTTTGCTACTGACTTATGAAAACCATGTATTCACTTCACTACCCTTCATTTTGTGTACTTACAATTATATTATATTTGCTTGTAATATCTTGTTTGTGTTTGTATATTTTCACAATAAAATATTCTATAACGAGGTAGACAACAAAAGCGAGACGAAAGTTTTATTTTGTGTATTTCTGCAAACTTTTTTTTCTTTTATTTGTACAAAAGATGAATGAAAAGCATAATCTTTTGCAGTCTTTTTTTTTTTGTACACTACATGGTACAAAAATTCACAAGAAACACAAAAGACTCACCAATGACAAACAAAAGCTATTATCTCAATTATTCCCCCAAACACATCATTCGGGCAACTTAAAAGAAACAAAATAAGAAATAACATATAATTTGTTGTTAAAAAATGTCTTAATTCCATAGTAAATCTTTGTCTCTTCTCAATTCTAACATATAGGCACTTGTGAGTCTTTTTGTCTTTTCCTTCCCTAAATAGAGCTTTTCTAAATTACATTTGAAGACACTGAATTTGAATTCACATTAGTCTAGCCTATGAATATTCATGAGGCAGTTCGAATTTGCATACTGGTCCATAATTCTTACGACATTATATGCACATCTGGTTCAATTTTCCTATTCATATTCATCACTTTAAAAAATATTAAATTGCCTATTAATGCCAACAATGACTCGAACAAGAATTTAAACTTTGGTATCTTAAAGAAAAGATGACACAATGTCAAATTTGAGAAGAAAATGGTAATTTTCTCTCAACCACATATTCAAAATGTATGTGCTATTCTCTGAGTGTTTGCCAGAAGCAATTCCTGTAAGAGCATACAAAGTCAATCATAAATTAAAAGTGAATACAATTAAAATCTGGTATTGCCTGTCCTCTGCATAAAACCTACAGGTCATATAACAACTTTTGGTTCCTATTTTCCCTCGTTCATCTATCCATTTTAAATAAGATTATGTTCATTTACAGGTACTAAAATCCTTTTAAAATCCTAGGTCAAGAATACAAAGCAATTTCAATTCAGCTTGAAAAAAAAATATATGGGCAGCGAAGAGTTTTTCTGTTTACTTTCATATTCCAAAGTATATATATTGTCAACTAAATAATTATTATAAGTAAAGGGGAGAAAAACACATTTATTGAATAAACCATTTTTATTATTCTTTTGGATTAAAAAAGAGTTGTCACCTTTTTATTTTTCATAAGCAATATTTGAAGACCTTCATTCTGAATCTGCAATATATTAAATCTTTAAATTGGCATCTCTCCCGTACACATCTGCATCAAATATGTAGACCTTCGCTGTGAAAACACAGTAGTGATCAGGGACCCACTTCACAAAGCCTTTTTTCAATGACAAATGACAATAATCAGTGACAAATCTGCGGATAACCAATCAGAAGCAAGGATTTCAGTAGCTTATAACAACAACTGTCATTTATCACTGATGACAAGTTTTGTGAAACGGGGCCCAGAATACTTCAAAAGATACCAGTTCACACCACCAATACATTAGTTGGTGTTAAAGAGAGATTTTTTTTTAATAAACAAATTGCATAATTTTAAATTGGCAACATCTTATTTTTGTGCAGCCGTAAGGGCGTCGACCTGCATACTCTAGGACAGAGCCGACGTCCTTGTAGTTCCAAAGATATTACATATTCTGTACATCCCATACAAGGCATGCTTTGATTTTCAAACAAAAAACTCCCAATATGTCATCAAGACGGGTGTTTTTATCGTGTTTCTGTCAATCCAGAAACTTCGCAAACTAAAATAATAATTCTGAAATGAAAATTGAGATGTAAAATGCGATATCCTCATAATTCTAAAGGCAACTTTTGAGTAAAGATCAAACCATATATTTCAATATCTGATTCATGCAAGTGCTTCTGTACACTCTACAGTCAATTTAGAAGGCAATTTCAGTTCTGGCACTATGTGTAAATTAAATGGCGATTTGACATTTGTACAAAATCTGCTCTGGCAATAACGTCTTCATGGTCTTTATCACTTAGCACTTAGCAGTACAAACATTGTACAATCATATTTTTTTTTGCAGGGGGTCGACTCTTTATTTAGACCACCATCAAACGTTACTCTCCATGAATGCAAAGAGCTAGAAGGGCATTGCCTCTTCATGTATGTATGTATACAGTCAAACCTGCTTTAGTGACCACCTGTCTACAAAGACCAAAATGTTTTGTTCCCCTTTAAAATGGTTTCTCATTGAAACAATTACTAAAGGAACCTGTCTGCAAAGACCACCTTTTGCTTTTTCCTTGGGCGGCCACTACAGACAGGTTTGACTGTAGTTATAAAGAGTTAAATACACCTGATGGTGGCCTGTACTGCAACTGAAGAACAAGAACAACAACCTTCTGGCACTCAGCAGAGATGGATTTGTAAAACCTGTCTAGAAAGGCCACATGACTTCACTGGCAAATCTGTTTTCTCAGATTTGAATGTACAACATTTTCAGAATTGTGTATTGGTTCACTGTGTGACACTTCAAAAAGAACCACAAAGTCACCCTTTTTTATTTTTGTTTTTCTTCACATTTCTTTGGAATATTTTTTTTTTCTTTAAAGATCTTTGGTTGAATACTTTATTTCATAGTTAAACCAGTCGATCTTCTATGTATGACCACCCATGGAAAACGGAACAAAGTGGCAACTCTAGACTAGACTGGTGGTCTTTCTAGACAGGTTTTACAACACACATTTCTTTATAGTGAAGACGATATAGGTGGCCATTATGAAGAGGTGGCCACTAAGACAGGTTGACTTCCTGTTACCTTTTAATATATTTTTTTTTTAATGTCAAACCATGACTTGAACATAAAAACTTCAATGTGAACCCGACAACTTTTAGGTTGCCTAAATTAAGGATAACTTGCTTCAGTTGCTTGACTTAATGACTACGATACAGTGTTTGGTCCCATGTTGCAGTGCATGCCGTATACAAACACATCCAACCGAAAAAGAAAAAAAAAATCATCCCTTAAAAACTTAACTGAACTTATTAGACGAAACGTACTTGCAAGCTCACAGGCAGTAAGTAGAAGATGAAACAATCAGGAAATCAAATAAAAGCATGAAATGGTTCTGTGACGACAATACTAAAACACTGTCATTGCATGCAAACTACACAACACATATAAACTAGTGGCTCTATAACACGTATAGAAAAAAACAACCCACAAATTTCAGAAAATATGCCATGTTCTTACACAAGTCCCAAGTAAAATTATATAAAGTCTCGCTTTACAAAAGCTTTGTAAAAAGTTTCTCTGGTAAAATATCTTACATTCTGTACAAGGTTTTTTCTTATTTTTTTTTTCTAAGAAAACAAATGAAGCATTTAGCACCGATGCGGTTTGAAATGATAAATGAAAAAAAAAATGTACATTCTTTTAAAATCGAACTCCTCGTGATTACAGTATCGACAGGATTTTAAAAAGAGAATGAAGGATCTCGCGTCAGTACATATACGTAAGTACATTCAGAGGTTCTACGCTCGTTTCCAGGTTTAAAGAGAGGCCGCACAGAAAGGTCGCCGTCCATTTCCTACATATACTCCCACAATGCATCAATGATGATGTCATCAACATGTTCACACTGTATTTTCTCGAGTTCACTTGGTGATTATAAGACGAGCGATCATCGTCATGTCGATGAGGGCTCCCTTTAATGGATCCGAGATAACATTTACGAAAAAAAAGTACTTTAAGGAAAGTTACGAGTCGGTGTACTGAGAAGCAAGAAATTTCACCTTAACACAGAACGACACAGATGGCAGTATACATACACACGACAAAATTGTTTTCACTGTGAATAATTACCAAACTAAAATGTGGAACAAAACGTGCCCCTGCATGCATCTCAGCCAACCAGGGTTGCCCACTATGCTGCCCTCTATGTCATGACAGAGACAGTTTGAAAATGCCTCTTTGAGAGACAACCTGCATGGATGTGGCGAAATAAAAACTTAGAACTGCATTTTGAATTTTTTTTAAAGTTGTGCCATAAGAGACAGGAGATGCTTATTTGAGTTACATTTGTGCTTCACCAAAACATACAAATTAAAACCAACTTTGATTAGCACAAGGAAATGTCAGAATATTCCCAAACTTACTCGACAAATCGTCAAAGTAAGAACTAGAAATGCTTGTATTCTGGCGAGGGCAAGCAATAATAGATATTTCTTCAAATTTCGGCTCTGACAATCAAAACCCAGGGCTATATTTTGACGATTTCTCCCTCGAAAGGATGTATAGAGGATAACTTTTGTTCAGTTCTTGTTGAAACTTGTGTCAATATTAATATCTTTTGAAGTTCGCAGATATAATTTACAAGTTCTACTTCCTCAGAAACTTCAATCCCAGATTCAGAACATCAAAATATCTTTATTATAGATAGACCCACAAAATAATAGCAGCAATCAGAAAATTTGTCACACCAATGTCTTAAAGCCCGTCTGCACTAGTTTGGCCAGGGGGGATTAGACCTCCCTGCAAGGTCACTGACAGGTGGTAATCTCATCGATTACCATAAGAAAAAGAGGATCATGGGGGACCAACAGGCACCGATAAGGCATTGTTTGCTAAATAGAGGGCGCAAGTAGCTATAAGTAGTGCAGTGGGGCTTTAAAGAGACTTTCTTATAGATGGATACAATGATTTATGCCTCTGTAAAATATAATCTCATTCTTATTATGACTTTTATTTGGGACATGCTTTCAATCATCTATATCATCAGTCTATATGACATATCTTTTTTTTACGTCACAGGTCCAAAACGAAGAAATGACTAAAGAGTAAGACAGCATTTTTTGTTTCATTTGAAGATACCGTACACACAAACAACAATAAATAGTAAATATGGAATAGTATTCTTTGTACAAAAACATAAACAAACTTTACGACATCACCTCTTTGTAAGAAAAAACGCATAAAGAGCAAACAGGACAAAATAGTAAAAATGTGAGAAAAACGTAGAAATAGTCCTCTGTATTCACAACTCTATACCTTTTTCACCAGTTTTTTGTATCAAAAATGTTTCTGCAAAGACACTACTTTCCCTTGTACGAACCCGTCAATAAAAGCTCCTTATTACAAAGGCCAAAGAGCAACCAAAAAAAAAAGTCAGAACACCGTCGCATTCTTATTTGGCTTAAGTACAACTATAAAAGTTAGCTTTGGCATTTCTGTGATGTAAAAGTTAAACAATATAAAACATCAACAGGCATAGTTATGGTGTATAAAAAATGAGAGAGAAAATTATTTTGGTAGTAGAAAATAAACATGTTGCTTGGGAGAATTGGTCAGCAATTTAATCTTTTAAAACCCTAGATAGGTGTCGGGGATCGGGAGAGAGATAATTTCTTAAGAGAATAATTTTGGTTATAGAAAAATACTTGGGAGAACTGACTGGCCCTTGAAAACTCATTAAGAATCCACATCGACCTTTGAACTTAAAAAGGTCATAATTCCAACAACAACAATTCATAACCTGCAGTTCTAGTATATGCTGGCTATATTTGGTAAAAATGGCTTTTCAACAGATGTGTGTATCATGTCTTTCTGACCAACAGTGATTCCTTGTAAATTTTTGTATTTTCATATTTTGGCCCTAGTAACCATAAACCATTATGTTTAATATCAAGGCACATCTAGAAACCACACTAAGATATTAAAGGATAGATCGATTTAATTTCTCATAGAAATATATATTAGCATTTGCATTGCATCATATCAATTAAATAATTTAATCAAGAAAATAATTAGTCAACATTATAATATCAAAATAAATCTGATTTTTGTAGTGATTGATACTGAACCGAATTTACCATGTAAGGCATGATTTTTTGCGATAAATTAATAAGACTTGGTCAGATTGAATTCAAATTATTTGTATCCGTAATTAATGAGGTATAAGAGAATCAATATCGATTCCCAAGATATTTTTAGTTAGGAGCTCAGCATTCTTTTTCATATAAACCCAAATTGTAGTTTAGGGGTACTTTTACTTTAGCGGCATAGAATATTTCTACGTGATATGTCATTTGCACCGAGTGACGTGTCCCTATACAATATATATCTAGAAATATCTCGATATTGATCTAGAAATATCTCGATATTGATCTAGAAATATCTCGATATTGATCTAGAAATATCTTGATATTGATCTAGAATTATCTCGATAATGATATATAAAATAAATGAACCAGATCAATGAGTGAGTAATGAACACACAATGCAGCAAACTTGTGTGTATGTGCTGTAAAAACTGCATTCAAAAGGCATATAAAAAGGGGGGACAAATAAAAGAAAACCTATCAAGATGAATCAAAATCATTTTTTTTTCCTATAAAAAAAAGACAATGCCTCATTCGGGATAATACTGTCAACAGTAGATCAATAAAAGGCACTTTGCTTGAGGGCTAAAGAAAATAAAATGAGGATATTTTTGGTAAAATTTCTTTTATAATCATTGATGGAGAAAGAGAGAGAGAGAGAGAGAGAGAGAGGGGGAGAGAGGGGGGGGGGAGAGAAAGAGTTATTGAAGATGTTTTATTAATGCATTTCAATAAAGGAAACTTAAAACACATGTTTTGTTTAAATAGAGACAGTCCACTTTGCAAATGCTTGAAAGTTGTTAAGACATATATTACCCCACCTCTCTCTATTTCTGTCCCTGAACAGACTTCTTTGATGTTTTCAATGACGTTTCTCTCCTAGAGTGACGTTTTCAATGACGTTTCTCTCCTAGAGTGACGTTTTCAATGACGTTTCTTTTGTAAAGTGACGTTTTCAATGACGTTTCATGAGTGTTGATAATAGTTTTATAAATAAATACGGTTCTGCGGACAACTTTCATTCACTCTCCTCATATAATTCACTTCCCCATGAAGTCTAAATGAGAATGAAAACTGCCCTTTCAGATTTTTTTTTCTTACAAAGATACAACCTGAAATGGCACGGAATAATGAATACTAGCTGTACGCTTTATAATCACTTGATTTTGTAATAATAACCACGGATTTCTCTGACCCTACATGGCAACACGCCATTTTGTGACCATCTATGTTGCTATTAATAATCAAAGAAATTATTACCTCTGATTAAACCCTTGTAAAATGCGTTTGTGACTGTAAACTCTGAATACAAAGCCGTTCTTAATTAGGGCTGGGGTATGTTGAAAATGTGTGTTGAACCCACATCACGGCCCTGTTTCACAAAACTTGTCATCAATAACAAGTTGCAAAAACTGTTATAAGCTACTGAAATCGTGGCATTTGATTGGCCGAGAGCAAATTTGTCGTAGAATCTCAGCATTTGTTATCGATAACAAGTTTGATGACACAGGGCACTGCTCATCTCAATGGGTTAGGTTGTGATGTTGTCTGAAAGTACACACAGGTAAACAGTTTCAAAGAATACATTGCTTAGTTTTAAACGATAAGGCTCCACGTACGAAAAAAATGCCCTTGCATTGTTTAACAATCCTTTGCCTCAGAAATGACCCCCATTAAATATCTAGAATGTTGAACGATGAAGGAGACCACATCTTTTTGAAGAGTTCAAGAGAAGCGTCTTGTAGGCTCCACGGCATTGTTTCACGATCCTATCGAAACACGAGTTAAATTTAATACAGGTGTTTCAATGGTCGACAGTGAACTTATGACGCTTGGTGAAATGCTGCCCTGTTCTCACTGAAGCAGAATAGGTCGCGAAAAGGCATAAAAGGCCTCAATGGCTATTTGGATAATAGCTCCACAGTATGTTGCAACGCAGAAGGGCACTAACGGGGCACAGGGCTGTCTCGACAACTCAATCAAAGAGCGCGAAGTTGTGTCTGTGAGGAACTTGATGCTTCACATTGTCACTTTGCGTGTAGCACAGAAACGAAGCATGTAGAGTTAGAGATGGCAGTACACAGCACCTTGGAGTATCGGAGCACAGAAGTTGAGCTGTAGTGTGGACTCTTAGAACGTTTTGCTTGATGTATCATTCCTACTCATCCATCATTCTCCTGGTCTGAACACTGCTGCATTGACGGAAAAGTGCTAAGAACACACCCCTTTGAAGCTTTCAATGATGTTTCTTTCCAAGCGATCATCCACTCTCCAGTATGCCTCATGCTCCATTCATCACAGTTATCCCACACAAAACTTCACAAGAAAAGAAATGATACATTATCATTGAGATCACAATCCTCCCCAGCAGCGATAAAAAACGTTGAAAAGACGATAAAAACGAGAAGAGAAAAATTCAAGAATTGGCAGTTCTTGCACAGGTGGGAAACAAAAGTATAAAGCTAGTCTTCTCCCGAGTCTTTATCCAATAAAAGTGTGCTAGTCTTTGACAAGTCTGTAAATGTGATGTTGCGGCCCGTGTTCACTTGTACACACTTCAAAGACAAAGGCGATGCATAGTAACGTCTCGTGCGTGTCTCTGTTCGTGACGACCTGTTACGGAATGGAATAAAATAGAATAAAATATCCATTATCGTTGTAGATGTAAGACAAGGATTTCAGAGGTATGCTTTACAAATAAAAAATAAAAACAAAATAAAATCCTTGCATTTAATTGGCTGTGAGCAAATTCGTTACAGAAATTTGGCAAGGTGCTCAAATAATACCCAAGCTCTAGCTAGGCTACCAACTTTGGTGCCTTCCTACCGGACCACATTAAACACCTGGGTGAAGAGTGGCAAATGCAGATTAATGTCTAGTTAAAACCATATGCCTGCCAATCAAGGCCTCCAAATGATTGACTTAAGTCTGGTAGGGAGCCATCTTAAATTTAGAGTAAAATACTTAGCGAAAGGTTGGAATTGAATACCAAAATTGGTTAAGTATTTTATCTGAGCCAAAAACTTAAATTCTGTACTTAAATATTGAATTGAATATGGGCCCAGGGCCCGAATTCCCCATGATAGCCCACTTCCATGTAACTTTAAATGAAACTGGGCCCGCTGCCTACATGCAGTAGAAACAACACCTCACCTGTAGAATTGTGAAGTTCTCTAGAACACTGTTCATCATGTACTTCTCTGGGAGATGCTTGAGTTTGTGGATGAAGTTGATCATGTATTCACACATGGGCGACCGCGAGATCTCATAGATGAAGTGACCGTTCTCATACCTCCCGTACTCCGTCTGAAAAGTTAAAGAGGGGGATCTCGAGGTGATGGAACGTGAGCAGGTATACCGTCGACTCAACCCGATCCACCCAACCCAAAAAAACAGTCATGTTACCCTTCGCAACAGGGACTTCTAAATTTGATCAGGGAAGCTATCTTGAATTTAATTGTTATTATTAACAGTTCTGCCTAACTTTAATACCTCTATCACCATTTATATATACATTATGTTTATAATAATAATATAATGCACTTATATTACACCATCTATCTAGTAAAACTTTTCTACGGCACAATGTCATTATGTCATTTATGTCATTTCAATGTACTTATTTATTTGGAATTGCATGTTTTTTTTATTCAATGTATTGTAAAAATCTTTTTAAATATAGATGGAATTGAATTGTATTAAATTGAGCTGAGCTGAATTGAACTGAATGGAATTGAATTGAACTAAATGGAATTGAATTGAACTGAATTGATTTTTTTTTAAAGGGTGATCAATGATCTTTCATTCTTAAAATTGGCAACACTAATGATTTAATTATATTTGAAAGCTTTTCTAATAAAAGTATCGTATCCAGAGAGAACATACATGGACAGAAATTAAATATGAAAAACTGCCAATTTGCATGGTAAAAGAGTGAATTTTAAAACACTTTTCAATGCATTGACAATTCAAGACTTAAATGCATTGATTCAATGACTGATTTTAATTAATCAAAACAGACAATTATTGTCTCCTTTTACTTATGCCCCTGGAATATTTGTTTACTAGGGCCAAAATATGAAAATTGGTAGAAATTATTGAGCCCAACCATGAAATATGAGCTTGAGCCCTGCCCAACCACACCCCACCCCTCCCCTCCCCCCCCCCCTTTGCTTTAAAGTGTGTCGACTGTTTCTAATTTAGAAACTTTTATTTTTTCAGGTTGTTAAAGACCAGTTATGGTCATGCGATTGCATTGTGGAAGAAACGTTGTGGAATCGATCAGAAAAGGTTGATCATCTAGCATATAAGTATTGGTGTGTACTGCAAGGTTCTGGAATTATCAAAATGATAAGAAATTTGGCCCAGTCTTCGTAAAGTTACAAGCACTGTACACAGAAAGATGTATATGGGACTACACACACACATGCGCGACACGTGCGTTAATCTCTCACAGTCCAATAGATAAACTAATTTACCAAATATATCAATTAGTAGGCGGTTTTCCCGGCAAAAATGTTATCATCATGTATTAGTCAAAACATATTCTTTCACATGATCGGTAATAAAGAGCTTCCATTTCATTTTTTGAAATTGGGGCGTTTCCAATACTGGTCTTTACCTTGAAAGATTTCAAGACATGATTGTAGTCCCCCACCCCAAAGAAAAGAAGAAAAACATTCTAGTTCAAACACTGTGATGGGCATTCAAACGTGTAAAATATGCCATCTGTGTCCGAATACAAAATTTGAAGCATACATACATTGTTCTGTCAACCTTGACTTACCTCTACTTTTTCTACGACTTGTTTGCCAAACGAACAGACTTTGGTTGAACACGTGATTGTCATTTTCTCTTCACTTTCGTAACTGCAGAGACAAGAAAAATAAATTTGTGAGAAAAATTAGAGATTGTTGTAAGAATTCATGGAGAACTATTTACCTATCAACTAACTGTAAAAGAAAAGGTGAGAGCCCTGTTTCATAAAACTATTATCAATCACAAGTTAGAATAACTGTTATAAGCTACTGAAATCGTGGCATCTGATTGGCTGAGAGCAGATTTGTCATAGCAATTTATAATTTGTTCTTGATAACAAGTTTTATGAAACAGGGCCAAGAGCCTTGAATAGTATTTTTAAATTCCAAAATCAAACCCTGTCCTACAGATCTTTTGCAATTGATCCAGATTGATTAATCAGAAACTTAGTTTTAAAAAACTCTCACATTCACATTCTGAATACTGAAGTACAATTATACTTACCAGGTGAAATAATGAAATAATTTCTAACATGGTACTTAACAAGATTAAAGCATTGAATTGTATAAAATTACGAAAATGGGTTTATTGTTCCCCTAATGATCACTTACTGGCTTGTGACTCCATAGAAGACATCTGTTTCATCTGACATATTCGTGTTGAGGTCCGCCTGTCAAAATATATATTAAAAAGGAAGAGTTGAGAACATTAATCTCATAGCAAAACAAGGACGTCTGTAGTGATTTGTACAAATAGGATAATTATACAATCCATTGTCTGGGGAGGGGGAGGGGAGTTGAGGGGGGGGGGGAGGTGAAGGGGAAAGGGTGGGGGAGGTGGAGGGGGAGGGGAAGGTGGAAGGGGAGGGGAGGTGGAAGGGGAAGGGGAGGGTAGGGGAAGGGGAGGGGTAGGGGAAGGGGAGGTGGAAGGGGAGGGGTAGGGGAAGGTTGAAGGGGAGGTGGAAGGGGAAGGGGAGGTAGAAGGGGAAGGGGAGGTGGAAGGGGAAGGTTGAAGGGGAGGTGGAAGGGGAGGGGAGGTGGAAGGGGAGGGGTAGGGGAAGGTTGAAGGGGAGGTGGAAGGGGAAAGGGAGGTGGAAGGGGAAGGGGAGGGGAAGGGGAAGATGGAAGGGGAGGTGGAAGGGTAGGGGAAGGGGAAGGGGAAGGGGAAGGTGGAAGGGGAGGGAAGGGAGAGGTGGAAGGGGAGTTTGAGGTTAAAGGGGAGGGGGAAGGGGAGGTTGAAGGTTGAAAGGGAGGGGGAGATTGAAGGGAAGGTTGAAGGGGAGGTTGAAGGGGAGGGGAGGTTAAAGGGGAGGGGGAGGTTGAAGGGGAGAGGGAGGTTGAAGGGGAGTGAGAGGTGGAAGGGGAGGGAGGTGGAAGGGCAGGGGAAGGGAGAAGGGGGTGGAAATGAGGGGGAGAAGGAGGGGAGGGTAGGGGAAGGTAGAAGGGGGAAAAGTTGAGGGGGGAGAAGTTGAGGGGGGAGGGGAGGGGAGGGGAAGGTGGAAGGGGAGGGGAAGGTGGAAGGGGAGGGGGAGGTGGAAGGGCAGGGGTGGAAGGGCAGGGGAATGGGGAGGGGGAGTTTGATGTGGAAGGGGAGGAGAAGGGGGATGTGGAAGGGGGAGGGGAAGGGGAGGGGATGGGGCAGAAGGGGAGGGGGGGCAGAAGGGGGGGGGGGGCAGGTGAAAGCGGAGGGGCGTACTCACCCAGAATTTGACAAGGAAGAAAGCTTCAGCAGGCCCTTTCTCATAGAGGTCTTTTAACCCGCCTTTCTTCTCAGGAAACTTGTCGTATATTTGCCTCACATCGACTGCCTGTAGCAAAAGAATAGATAATGAAACAAATATAGGATTGAAATTAAGAAAAGGAAAAAATATAATCTTTTCTTGGTCGGCAGGCACTGACTCTACATGGACACTTCAACCAAACGCCATAACGACTTAATACCAAGCCTAAATTTATCAAATACATACAAACAATTTTTTTTCCAGGTGATTTGTACACTTAAAGTCCAAGTCCATTTAGCAGGGAGCTGTAAAATATGAGATGCATAAGGCACTTACACCTAAAAGGGAATCATAAAGTAAATGCTGAACTCATAGAAAGTCAGGTTAAGATTTTTGAGGTATATCTTCTACTTTCTAGTGGCACACAAATTATTATATTTTTTCAGGCGATTGGTACACTTAAAAGTCCTTTTAGCAGGATGCTTCACAATATGAGATGCAAAAGGCACTTACCTCTAGGAGGGGGTCGTAGAAGCTGACGTTAGGACCGAGATGAACAAAGAAATGCTTGTTATACTGTGGTGTAAAGAGAAGAGAAGAGAGAGATAGGTTCAGTTTCGGTTAGAACTAAAAGCAGACATTAACATGATCAGAGATCTCAGGAAAATAATAAAGTCAAAACTGTCTTAGTGGCCACCTCTCTATAAAGGCCACCCAGGGAAAAAAGTAATTTTTTTTTTATTTTTTTTTTTTTTTTGGGGGGGGGCTACTTTTCAAGCTTGCCCGCATGAAAATAACATTCTAAAATTTGTTTTGCATTGAACTCTTTGCAAATTTATGGGAGCTCTTCTCTGATTTTCTGGGGCTGTTTGTCGCATTTCGGGGGCTATTTTGCCCCTTTTGCCACCTGTCTGTAGCGGGCATGTATTTCGTCTCCCTCGAGAAAGAAATGTGTGTTGTAGAACCTGCCTGAAAAGGCCACCTAGATAGCGGTGGTGGTTATTTTATCTGACAGCTTAGAAAGCAATAAATGCTTGTTGGTAAGTAACCTGTCTACAGTGACCACTTTTTGCCGTTTCTCATGGGTGGTCTTAATAGATTATTAATCACTGATTGACCAGTAATTCAAATTTATTCCAGACATGGCAAATCAATTTTTGCTTTAGAGTGAAATTCACTGAATTCATGGCTATATGATAGTTACCAAACCAGAAAAGAATTTCAAAAATTGTTGAACTTTAACCTTCTGCAGTTAGAAACCCTTACAATTCACAATGTTTCAATATTGTGATTTCATGTTATGGCAGCATGTAGCTCTTACGACTTTCGACCATCCACAAAATTCATGACAGTTTCTAGCACGCCAAGGAATCAGGTTTAAATCCAGTAATCACATCGGCATATCTGCCAACCTTCCAACAACAAAAAATAGGAATCTCTCAGCAAAATTCGAAAAGTGTATTTTGTATGCTTATAAGTACAAGTTTCCAGAAAGAGAACAAAATGTGCCTATAAGGCCGTGTCACACAGAAAAATCCCTTAAAAAATCCCTTGAAAGGGAGAATTTTCTTGCTTCGTTAGAAGATTTTTAATGGGATAATTGATGACAGACAGCAATTAAGAGGATAACTAAAATCTTGATAACTAAAAATCCAGATTTTTGGCCTCTGTGCGACACCGCCTTATGTTTCACAACACATTATTCTTGAGGTTCGAAATAGGAATCCTTCCTCCAAAATAGGAATGGAAGGCAACTATGCAATCAGTCACAGGTGATTTGAAAAATTGATTAAGGTTCCAAGATGAATCGTAAAGAGGACTTACGCTGTCGGGTTCTCTCGTCCTCTCGATGAAGGCTTGGAACTCGACGAGCCGTAGCTTCCTCATGCCGATTGACCTTCCTTCCCACGCGGGTGTGGCCGACGCGTACTCGCTGACCGTCGTCGCCGTCGGAGGGTAAGGCTGGGCTGATGTGAATGGTTTGATGCTGGGGTAGAGAATGGAAGGGCTGTATCGGTGAAGATTGGTTTATAAATAATATACTGTTGAGAACTAGAAGGGCACTAAGCCTATCGGTGAAGGATAGGAGTAGACTCCCTTCTGGCTCTCAGTGGATGAAATGAAAAAGTGTGAGATAACATGAAAATATGAAAGATAACAAAGAAACAAAGAAAGAAAGAAAGGAAGAAAGGAAGGAAGGAAGAAAGGAAGAAAGGAAGGAAGAAAGAAAGAAAGAAAGAAAGAAAGAAAGAAAGAGAAATAAAGAAAGAATAAAAAAATAAAAGAAAGAGAAATAAAGAATGAGAAAAAGATAGAAAGAGAAATAAAGAAGAATGAAAAAAGAAAGAATGAAAGTAAGAAAGAATGAAATCAAGAAAGAGAGAGAGAGAGATGGGAGAATGGGAGAAACGGTAAGAGAAAGGGAAAGCAGAAGATAGAGCGAGAGAGGAGTGGAAGAGAAAGAGAGAGAGAGAGAAAGAAGAGAAAGGGAGAAGACAGGTAGACATCAAATCATGCACATCATTTTTTTCTAGAGAGAGATATATAAAAATATTAAAAAACAAAGCAAGAAAAAAGAAAGAGAGATGGGACAATGGGACAAACGATCAGAGGAAGGGAGAGTGGAAGGGGAGAGAGAAGACAGGTAGACATCAAATCATGCACAGAAAAACAAATTAAGAGAGACACATATACAAATCAAAACATTCAAGGAAAAAAACAATGTTTGAAAGGATTCTAAATCATATTGTGACAAGCAATTGTTTGACATTGCACAACATCTTTGGCTACTCTTTGGAAAGTCTTAAGGTTCATTGATTATAGTTATATCTTTTATTATTTCTCCTTAGATTCCTTCAGTCCCATATATACTTACTCATGAGATGGTCCTGCTTGTGTGAGCCCGGGCTGCCATAATTGCTGTAGCAAAAGAAAAAGAAAAAGAATTCTTTGAAAAACTCATTCCCACAAAGACAAAACAGCATTCCTGCAATTCTGTTAGTACAAGTTTTATTTCCATTTTCAGAAAATAGCGAGAAGGGGGCAAATATATCAGAAAATATGTATGTTTCGATGTCTGTGTGAATAGGACTGACTGACCATGGCTCCCTAAATAAGTACAATTCAATTAACCAGTTGTCTACTGCATTGTGAAAGTCCTTAAAGGCTAAACACAGGGAACATGAGGTTCCCATAGGCAAAGGGTTAAATCTATAACATAGATGTTGTCCTACATCGTCTTCTAATGTAATAATATAAAAAAAAGAGGGAAAAAAGAGAAAAAAACAGCACTCTTGGTTTGAAGGAGCTCTTTTGGATTTACCTTTGCAAAAGTAAACATTTGTTGCAGTGATTTTTTATACAATTTTCATTTACTTTTTGTTGCCGTTTTATCTTTTTTGAGCTTTCAAAAGCTAAATTGCTCTCCGCTCCCATGTATCTGTTTTTCACTTTTATTTGTTTATCACTGTTGCATACTTCCTCACAATGTGCTAACTAAAAGTGGTACTATACAGACGTCTCTTCCCCAGATACTTAATATCTGAAATTGATATACTTATGATTCATTTCAAATATCTGTAATTGACCCCTTCTAGTTATTCCCTTTAAACTGAACACCTATTTCTTCATTCTCTTTTTCGATAAAACAGGTAGACATACGTCGGGGGCCATGCACATCCATCAACATTCAAAGAATCGGCAGAATGTGCGAAGAAAACAACACCCAAACAGAAATGTGTTTCCAATTTCATTGGTTTCCTTCACACCTGTAGATCACACCTGCTGGCGACACTACCGTTGTCTAAAATATCGCGAAAAGTCAATATCGATCCCTTTCATTAACCCTTCCACCGCTGTAACATGTTAGGGGTACAGGTGACAGAGCAACGTGAGGCAGTTAAGGGGTTAACATGCCAACGTAAGTTTCAAGGTCTGGGGGAAGAGATTTTCCTTGAAGGAGATAGTCAAGATCGTCCGCGATGAGTCATGGTCGCGTCCCTCTGTGGTTTACGAGGGGTGCAGGGAGGTGCTCCCTTTGGCTATTCGTCTGGTCTCTTAATCCTAGCGAGCCGAGGTGCTGCCATGGGGGAGCCCCACATTACACCTGCCGTCTCCTCTTCGCGTCCCGCAAGCGCCCCCGACCCCGAATAAATCCCGCGGAGAGTCTACAAGAAATGTCTGTGTTTAGAATCCAGGAGGTTAAAAGGAGGTTTGGGTTTCTCTTGTATGATTACCGCTCTTCCTTTTCATGTGTGATGTGAGGAAGGAGAAGGGGTTCAGGATAAATAAGGCATGTTGCGGGAAAGGTTGGGAAAAGTGCAAGTTTGTGAGCCTTCTTGGTGGAGTTGCCAAAGTTGTACTTTTGTTTTGAGCTTGGTCATGATGAGGTGAAGAAGTGGGTGGGGTAGCCATGCTCAAAGGATAAATGCTAAATGGAGCCCCCCCCCCTCCCCCCCCCCCAATACCCCATCATACTCAACAAAAAAAATGTAGTCAAGTCTAGCATATACCAGGGTCAACCCCTATTCCTTCTGCCCCCAAGTGGTAAGAGGGGGGTAGTGAACCTTGCTAACAGGCTAAATGCAACCCATCCCCCTATCTCATTTAATATAGGGATTTTTAATAAAAACAGTAAAAAAAAATTCAAAAAATTCAAAAAAAAAAAATCTTCAGAGCTAGATGGTATTGAGATGAGAGGATGGGGTAGCCTTGCTACCAGGCTAAACAGAATGCTCCCCCCCCCCCCAACTCTCAACTAAATAATTGTGTGTATTTAAGTCACCCCCCCCCCCCCCCCAAAAAAAAAAAAAAAAAAAAAAAAATCCCTCAAAATCCATCCCCTCAAATTAGTTTGTGGATTACTAATTAAAAGTACATGAACCCCAAAAATCTGGTGCAACTTTAAGCTTCTATCAAATGCTCTCATTCCATTTTACTCATTTTACTTGCATGCATATCAGAAATTGATCAAATCATTATTATCACGATGCTTTAGATCATCTGGGATAGGATTTGAAACATGCTCCATCCCCCTGTTACACAGAGAAGGTTGAGTTCTGGCAAAGATGAAAAAATAGTTGAGCTTTCTCAGTTTTAAAGAATATCACAGTAGAAATGTCCCCTAAACAGGATTACTCGCCAAATGCCCTCATATTCAAAATAAGAAATAGCTGTAAAGTTTGGATGGGACTTTCATGCTGTATGTGCCTACAGTCCCATATATACAATTTTTGTGTGATTTTCATTAAAATTGAGTCAATCATGTCAGCCATATCATTCCAAAATTCACAGTATATAATTTATTCATTCTTCTTTGCAACATCATCAGATTTTCCCCAATAATTCCCATCACCATGTAACTGCATGACCAGTACTCAACTTTGTCTTTCACAGAAATAAGTGTATCCAAACCTTAAGATGCAACATGATACCAAGGAAGCAGAATTGAAATGCTTAAATTAATTATTCATCATCATAATGTCATGCTAAATCATTCATCATCAGTACCTTTAATTCTAACTGATTTTGTCCCTCTAGCTCCCATCTCCTCAAAAACTGAAAAGAAAAATAATATTTCAAAATAAGGTCGATTCACAATCAACAGCACCATTCAGCCACACCGGTGTTTAGTCAATTGCACATGATGCATTATGGGGAAAAGTCGACAAAAACATCAGCTGTGACTTTTGTTATATACCATTGGTTAAACAGGGATTTGATCAAACATTTTGGTAGGGGTTTGTTCGAGATAAAAATGACTGTTTTGGTCATTATGGCAAATTTTTGACAAAATGTATGACTTGGGGAGGGGGTTTATAACAATTTGCGATCCATAATATATTTTGAGTAGTGCCCCAAGGGAGAAGACACTTACTAGAAAATCATAAATTAATATTTTTGTACAGGAAAATAAAAAGTTATCAGCGACTACGTTATACTCCACTGACCAAACTACTAATTTGAGATTCGCATAGACGTAGTGATCTCACATTTCAAACGTTCAAACATTCATAACTTTCTTATTATTGGTCTGATTTATTTCATACTTACACCATCTAATTTTTCTGCTTTCATACAAAATGAACTTATTACAAGGGTATATGGATTGCCCTTTAAGCCCTTTACAGAGAGAATTCAGTATTCAACCGGTTAATATTCATGCAAATGACAACTTAGGCCAAATAAAAAAAAAAAACATGTTTAGCGTCCTGTTTTTTTGAAAAATAGGAAGGAGGAGGCCCTTTTTTTTCTTTCAAAATGGCCGCTCAAAATGGTCGCTCGGTACATTTTCCCTGACAGTCGGGCTATTTTTCAAGATGGCCGCCAACATTTTTTTTATTTTTTTTTAATCAGAAATAGATTCATTTTAGCAGTGTTTTTCATGTTTTTTTTCTTTAAAAAAAAAAAATTAAAAAAAAATTTTCAAAAAAAAATATATATTTAAAAATTTAAAAAAAAAAAAAAAAAAATTAAATAGGAGGTGGCCCCCAAAAAGGAAGCGGGCGGGGACGCTAAACATGTATATTTTTTTTAATGGCCCTAGCATGCCAGAGAATATCTTAAATTACACTGATGGAATAAAAACAGATTCTGTATATTCCAATCTGGTTTAAAAGCAACACATGAGACTGTAAAATACACTGAAGCGAGTATTAATAATTTAATATCATTTAATTAATATGCGATGTCCTATAGGTTTCATCTAACGTTCTTTATTGCTTAGCCTTCGAATATTTAAACATTTGCAGTTTGGGTGATGGGATGCAGGCAACAGTTTTATTCTCCCCGTTTCATCACCTCACGACACTAAAACTTCAACTGGGCCGGACATAAAATTCGCAAAGGAATTCCATCCTATCTTATATCGCCTCGAAAAAGGGGGAAAAGCGAGGGGAAAAAACGATAGTCGATGACGAAGACATAGACAGTTGTCAGACGAGGAAAGACTTAGAGGGAAAGTAAGAAGGCAGCAAAGGGATTTTAATTGATGCAGACGATTTGCTTTTATCTGGAACAAGACAAGAGGATAGAGAAGAATGAGAAATCCCAGGTTTAATTTGACACAATATAGAGCCTGGAAGATCATGAAACATTCATGAGTATGTAATCCAAAGGGATCGCATCTCCAGGTAGTAATATTCATTTCATCAAGTTTGCCTGGGTTTTTCCCCTCCATAAACAAAAATAAATGCAAGGATGATGTGCTTTTATGCAGTGCATGATATCCTACCACCAAAAGAGAGAGAAGGAGAGAATAGAGAAACAGATAGCTACTATAATTCCAATCATGGACAATATCATGAGATAGTTAAAATGTCTGAATAGAAGAAGGTATATTTGGGGTAAGAGGTGCTCACATTATACAGTGTATGGCTACCTGCTACTAAAAGAGAGAGAGAGAGAGAATAGAGTAACAGATTTTGGAGAAAAAACTATTGTAATTCTAATCATGGTCAACATCATGAGTCTGAATAAAAGAAGGTATAATTGGGGTAAGAGATGCTCACATTTGTCAGGGGCGATTGAAGTACTGGAGTACATGTAATAATAATAATAGTAATAATAATAATGATAGTGGGCTCTTGTATCATGCTCTTGACTATGACTATTCAGAAGTCGACAATTATTACCCCGGCTTTAGCATGGCTTTGTATTTGTATCGAGGCACTTCACAAAGATGTATGCATAAGATTTGGTGACATTACGAAAACGGTCTTTTCCTGCCAAGTACCCGTACCCATTTACCTCAACTGGGTGGTGTGGAAAATGTATATTAATGTCTTGCCAAAGGACATTAGAGTTGTGGTGGGACTTGAACCCCTAACCATTTGATCAACAGTCCGGTGACATATCCACTAGACCACAACACCTCCAGGGTACTAGAATTGAGTTAAAGCAGGACTTCACTACTTGTATCTACTTGAGCCCTCTAAATAGCCAACAATGCCTAAGCGGTACCTGTTGGTCCCCCTTTTTCTTATGTTAATTGAGAGCTGATTTGGTGAGATAACCACCTGCCAGTGACCATGCAGGGAGGTCTAATCCCTCCTGGCCAAAATAGTGCAGATAGGCTTTATCTAGTGTAATGAATTAATCATAAGTCAATTGTCAAAAGACGTTTACACATACTAGGGTGTTTCACAAAGACCCGAAGTTGATCTCTAAGATGAACTTAACAACTATGGAAAGCCGTTAGCATCTATGAAAATATTTTGTAAAAGTTATTTTAAAAGGCATAAAATGTTGATTCAAATCATTCATATTTTCTATTATCAAGGAGATTTCATGTTCTTGATGAGAAATTTATAAAAAGTCAAAAATACTTCAATTCTCACTTTTAAATGTTTTATTCTAAGGCTACAAATGACTTTCCATAATTTTTAAGTCCAATTTAGAGTTAAGTTTGACTCAGTATCTTTGTGAAACACCCCCTGGTGTGGTGGTCTCACAGGGATAAGGTGGGCTGAAGCCGACTATCTGGGGTAACATCTCGACTTCTTAAGACACCTAAATGTACAGGAAAAGTCCTCTACCTAGGATCCGCCACCCTCCACCGAGTAGAGGATGGGAGATAGTGGGCATAGCTTTAAAACAGGGGGCGTTTCACAAATCTTGTCATCAGTGACAAATGACATTTGTGTTATAAGCTACCAAAATCCTTGCTTCTGATTGGTTGTCAGCAGATTTGTCACTGATTTTTGTTATTTGTCATTGAGAAAAGGCTTTGTGAAACGGCCCCCTGGTGTTCTTAGGTAAGGTGGTCTAAGGAGCTGCCCCAGGTAACCCTAAGTCATCCTATGATACTCAAATATAAAGAGAGAACTCCTTTATCATAGGATACACTAAGTGCGTCATCTCCCAACTAATAGAGTGTGGCTCAAATACATCCCCCTGTTCCTAGTTGGGATGGTCCGAGAGGGGCCATTCCTTATAAAGGTAACCATAATCTATCCTACAACGGTGATATTATTATTATTATGTAAAGGAGAGCCCCCCCCCCCCCCCCCCCCCGCCTCTTTCTTGATACAAAATTAAAAATTATTATTATTATTATACACTATGTGCACAATCTCCCTAATAATGGACAAGATACATGTATTAAGGGTGTGGTTAAAAGACATAGCGGTGTTCCTGGATAGAATGATCCGAGAGGGGTTGCCCCCGGTTACCCTAAACCGTCTAAATTAATACTACTCATATATACAGCAGAATCGCCTTCACGTTAAGATACGGTATACTATGGGCATCCGTTCGCTATGAAAAGTCCAGAAAAGGGGCGTGGCTCAAATACTTACCGGTGTTCCTGGGTAGGGCGGTCTGAGAGGGGCTGCGCCCGGTAACCCTAAACCCCAAGGCCCATGGCGGCAGCTTTGTTCTGTAAGGCAGTGGCCGAGACGATCTGCGCTGATGACATCGCTGCCATGCTCTGTAAGGCCTTGTCTTTTGTCGCTTGATCCTGCTGTAATGGACGAAGGAACAACAGGACCAACAAAAATACATTTGTTAAAAAGAATATTTAAAAAGGAAAAGGAAAAGAATGGCGGACAGGTCTGGCTCTGATTCATAAAACTTGTTATCAATTACAAATGCTATATTCCTATGACAAATTTGCTCTCAGCCAATCAAATGCCACGATTTCAGTAGCTTGAAACAGTTAGTGTAACTTTTTATTGATAATCAGTTTTATGGAACAGGGCCACATGCATGTGTATGATAAAAAGTCATTATTTTATGTATCTCCCCACAAGTTAATCATTTCTCCTTCAATAAATTTTGACTTACAAGTAATAGTGACTTCTGATTATTATTTTTGAGTTACAGTTCTAGTTTCTGGGCACAGGCCTGTCAAAGGTGTATCTTAAACAAGTAAGGACTAATGAAATAATTTCCACCACTTTTGAATAAATATAGAAGTGGTTGAATTTTACAAAAGTCTGCTTGAAAGAACCTAACTGCAACCTTTAACCTACCCCTAACCTTAAACATAGCTGCAACCACACACTTTACCCTAACCTTAAACCCAACTGCAAGCCTAACCCTAAACCATACTCAAACCTACCTGCGACCCTAACCTTAACCAAAACCTAACTGTTTCTCTTAACATAAAACCTTTCTTCAACCCTAACCCAAACCTAAAACCTAACTGCTACCCTAAACCTAACCCTACCTTCACCCGAACTCTAACCCTAACCGAAAACCTAACAGCAACCCTAAACCTAATACTAACCTTAAACCTTACTGCAACTATAAACCTAAATCTGAACTGCAAAGCCCAACCCTAAACCTAACCTTTAACATAACTCCAACTCTTAACCTAAAACCTAACTGCTAAGCCTAACCTTAAACACAACTGCAACACAACTACAACTCTTAACCTAACCCCAACCTTAAGGAGGCGCCATGGCTCAACAGAGCAGTGGTCCTGAATTTGAAACCAAGTCAATGCGCTCCTGCCCCATGGTAAGGCATTAATCCTCATTATCAAGTCCCTCGGAGAGGACTTCAAAGTCATTAGTCCCCTGGTAGATTACCATACTTACAAGCATATACATGCTTTCTTACCAGTCAGGTAAAACAATAATCAATCATCATCTATCTAAAATCTAACTGCAACCTTTACCCTAACCTAAAACCTCCCTGCAACCCAGACCCTAACCTTAAACCTAACTGCAACCCTAACTTAACCTTCCCTAAAATCTAACTGCAACCCTGACCCTAACCTTAAACCTAACCTAAAAAGTTAAACCTAACTGCAACCCTAACCCTAAACTAAAACCTAACATAAAAAGTTAAACCTAACTGCAACCCTAACCCTAAACTAAAACCTCACCTAAAAGGTTAAACCTAACTGCAACCCTAACCCTAAACTAAAACCTAACATAAAAAGTTAAACCTAACTGCAACCCTAACCCTACACTAAAAGCTAAACATAAAAAGCAAAACCTAACTGCAACCCTAACCCGAAACTAAAATATAACATAAAAAGTTAAACCTAACTGCAACCCTAACCCTAACTTTATATCTCGGACAAAATAAAGCCTGAAGCAATTGTCACAGGAGCAAATGCTGGATCGTAAAACTCTTTTAAACTCCTCAAGTAATTTCTGAGCGCACACCAAATGCGTGCATATAAACGCAACGCACCTCCTGCCAACTGGAAAGGGGTACGCACGTCAGACCTTCCAGGATACGATTTGCTAATTGAGCGTTAATTGAGAGCTTTCAGAATACCCACTGCAATACCGGTAGTATTTTTGCCGACCACCGGTACCTTTAACATCCCCTGGGATGGATGGATATGTGCACAATATTAAACGGGGTGTAGCATGACTAGATTACGTGTCTTCCCGTGACCTGACTCGGGCCAATCGGGTATTCACGTGCGTGCAACATACGCAAATCGAAGCGCGAGGGAACTTCCGTCTGTTTCGCGAACGTTAGTGCGCTGACCGTTAATTAAGTCCATTCATATACGTCCAAAATAAGTCGTAGATGGCGTTAACCAGTATTTGCCATGCTACACCCCTTTAATGTAGCTTATTACTATATCGTTATTATTATCATTATTATAAAGCTCAATCATAACCCTAACCTCTAGCCCCTATCTTTGATGAAATGAAGCAGATCAAATATCGCCGGAGCATGTGTTGCATTGCCAAAGAGAAATTGTGTAAAAACGCTAAAAATTTTGAACAAAATGTTGAAGAAAACGTTACTTTTTTAACAGTAAGCCCACCACCTGAACAAATGAATGGTTTTGTGTTTTTTACCTGGGTACCTACCTTGAAGGTCTTCGTGATTTCTCGAGCAGTTCTCTTGGCAAGAACCTGTATATGACTCGAAACCTAACTCGCAACACACAAAGGAGAGGTGGAAAGAAAGAAAGAAAACAAAACGTTGTTGCGAGCGATGCGAGGATCCACCCGATTGCGTCTTGCAGAGGTTGGGATGGGCATGTGTGAACAGAACTGTTTTACGTATTTAGCACTGGCTATTTTTTCATCGATGTCAATGTATCTAAAAGCATCACTTATTTTTGAGAAATGCTCACTTGATACTATTTTTTGTTTTCACTATCACCATTTATTGCCCCAAAACAGTGAGAAACACAATTTATTTCATTTTGATACACTCTTTATTAGTGTTTATCAGTTTTGACAGGAATGTTAACTTAAAAAGTCAACCATTTAAATTGTCAAGGATGCAGCTACCGTTTCATTAAAGTGAGCATTAGAAAAAGTGACTTGGAGGTTTCCTTTTAAAAGCAGAGAAACACATTGATTTCACTGAATACAGAGTAGACCTATAAAAATGACAAAATCTTTTGGAGCAACAGACAATATGAAGCCTGGAGACTGTCTGAAATCGATCAAAAACCTTTAAAAAGTGCCATCTCTGTCAAGGTACAGATCATACATGTACAAAGCAATGCATTTCTCCCTGACTGTTCAGGACAGCTCTGTTCTATAACAATGCACATCCCCATCTCCGGCACAACCTAGGGATCCTTGGGTGCCACACTGCCAGATATCCCGACAACACACGACCCTTGACACCGGCGTACAACCTCTCCCGTTTGAGTGAACATAGTCCTATTTTAACTACAAAACACAAGAAATGTTCATAAAATGGCAGAATTTTTGGTAAAGATTATCAGATTGGCAATACCGGTACATGGTATTTCTCAGACCATCTGCGAATAACAGCGCAACAGCTGAACTTAAGAAGTTGAAGTTCCATGTTTTACAATACAGCATCTCAAACTCTTTCTCCCCACTGTATTAAAAATGTCTTGGTTTACAACATGAAAAACTTAAATCCTTCTGCCACTGATGCACTGTCGACCAATTTTGTTTTCACCTGGCAAAAGTCTGGTGAGAGCCAGAAAGATATTAACTCCAAATATTTCACATCTATGGTTAACATCTTTCTGGCTCTAAAGCATACAACACCATACTTTCTTCTTGTGCGCATTAGCAATTGAATCCAATGACCGAGGCATAATAATTAAAATGTAAAGCACTTTAAAAAGGCAGTATTAAGTGCTATACAAATGTCACTATCATTATTATTATTTTTTGTGTTCACAGAATTGACAAAGAGAGGTTGTACACACGCCGCTTAGGGTGGTGCGTGCGGAACGCAGATATCTTGGCAATGGGAACATACTTTTTGGTGTTGATAGCGTACCTTACATAGTGCTTGGAGTTCCCTTGCTTTTCTTCTTGCTAACACCTGAATATGACTTGACACCTGTATGAAATGGGAGGCAATGAGGACAGCACGTTTGGAGTCTTGCACACATTGAGATCACAGATTTTTTTTTTAAAAGGAATCTTGACTTTAAAATTATTCGGGTCAATCATACTACGGTACAAAAAAAAATCTTATTCTCAATATCAATATTAATATTAATAATGTTTAATACTTATCTTCTCTTCCTACATGTTGAACTCTAACATTTTCACCAAAAAAGATTGTTGTAATATAAGCCAAACTGTAGTAAATTCCTAGTACGGTAGTTCAAATGTTACAATAGGGCAATTCCACGGTAACGGAAGGACACTCAGACAAGATTTTTGAACTTCAGGTTCATACTAAAAGAAATGTTTTATTAGTATGTATTAAACTATGGGGAACAAAATGTGTTTCAGTCAAGTGGAAAGCTTCATCAACTTCACAAAGTTTGGATAAACACTAATTAACTGGAAAAACCATGTCCATTTTTATGTCCTTCCGTTACCGAGATAATTAATATGCACATTCTTAAACTACTTAACTATAATGACAATTTTTGGGGGGAGAATTAAAGGCACTTATATAGGTATTATATCTGTACTGTTTCACATCTTATACTAATAAAACAGTTCTTTTAGTATGAACCTGAAGTTCAAAAATCTTGTCTGAGTGTCCTTCCGTTACCGTGGAATTGCCCAATACCTTTATCATCGTATTACAGGACGCTCTCAATATGAAAATATCATGAATTGACTAAATTCCTTTAAAAAATGAAAAAGCAAAGCCTCGATTATAGCATATTTTTCTGGTTAAATAGATTTTACTAGAGCATACAATACATGTATGGATGTTTGCATCTTGGATGTTAGATGCATCATGTATGATTGATGTAAAAAGTTTCAAGGGGGCTAAAAGTTCTGGATCCCCCCCCCCCCCTCTTCTCTTTGGCTCTTCAGACTTTGGAGGGAACTAGACCCCCCCCCCCCCCCTCCTCCCTCATTTTTTTTTCTTTGAGAGAAATGCATCATAATTCATGTGTGCATTACAATCCCCCTGCCTCCCCCCCCCCCTCCCCTACATAAAAAAGAGAAAAATTGAAGCGTCTTTTCACAGCAGTGTACTGTAGCACGACGGCATTCGTAATGAAGCAAATTTCTCATCAAATAATGAACCCATCAATTCAACATATATCTGAAGAATTAGGACATATCTGTCTGCCGCATCAATTATGTATATTTTGATCACTCAAAAGAATTGTAGGGATATATTTCATGCACTTTAGCAGACCAAAGTGCATTAAGATATTGCTATGGCCCTTTGTCCGGATGAAGTGTGAATGATGAACTCCCCCGTGTTCATTATTTATTCATTTTTTCCTTCTGAATCAACAGGTCCACTTCCAGTTTGGATTATTAATATGTCAAATTCCATGCAATATCCTTAATCAATATCTCCATCTCTCTTTACAGTACTGGGCTTGTTATTTTCCCCCCAAAAAAAGACATTTTCAAGCCATTTCCTTTTTTTAGGGAAAATGCCATTAGAATTTAACCTTTTGATTTGTTTGGCCTGCAAATGGGACATAGTACCTTTAAATCAAAGTTTTGGGTGAGGTAAGTACGTTATAATTATAATATATCATTGTGTGTAAAGCCCACTAAAATTATGCCTACCTTGATCAAGGCAAATACTTATTCTAAGAAGGGTAAATAGACTTACCCCCTGGTATTAAATCATATAAGAAACAGAATTTTTATGATTTTCACTTGTCTTAGTTCAAGTTCTATCATGAAGAAAATAAATTTCACCAGGTACTTCTGGAAAAGTTTATTTTTATGCACTAATAAAACATAACAACTATCATAGGCTTAACTTCCAACTTTTACATACTATTATGAACTGTATTAATATCAATAATTTGATTCTAAAATTATTTTCTTTTTACCTGGACACATACTTAAAACATTGAACTACAGTGCTGTTGTGTTAACAACTTTAAGAAAAAGAAACAATAAATGAAAAAAAAGAAACAAAAGTACATCAAATACCACATGCCACAAAACAATAATGAATTAACTAAACATCAGGCAAACGTGCTACAACTATTAAACAAAACAAAGCTAAAACAAACTAAAGAATAAACAAATTAAATGAATCAAATGGGTGAGGCACAAGAAGCTATAAAGAAAACAGTGATCTATGGAACTCAAATGTGCAAAACTCCAAACAAACTTCCTCATGTTGCCAGTGGTTTATACCACGAGGATAAGAATGCTTGCTGTGATGATGGTGTCAAGTGCAAAAATTATTTTAAAATGTTACAAAGAAAATAACATCCATGACTAAAAAACCAAGCACATGCAAAGTCTGCTGACAAAACAAAAAGTGACAGAAACATTGATAAAATGTGAGAGAAAGCATATCAAAATCATAAAGATGATCAAAAAGTAACTGAAAACAAATAATATTTAACAACAATATCTCACAAGGAACTAATCACCATTTTTGTTTTTGTAAGGAATTACTAATAATCTGTAAATCAAGAAAAAACCTGATATATAGTATGCAAAATTCATGCCCAAAAGTATATGAAGGGTCCAAATATTTAATGATTTGAAAGGATTAAAGGAAAATTTGTTGAGCAGTAAGGAGATTAAATTTGGAGTTTGAACTTCCATACATGCTTAATATTGTGGACAGTGGAAGTGCATTTAGTTTTGCAATCATAGGCTTTGTTAAGATTATTTGAGATGCATTTTCAATCTTCTTTTAACTATTTCTTATTTCATTCATATTTTCCCCTTGCTCTGTAATAGCTTAACACTTCAATGTCCCTTATAGTTTACATGGGGTGGTTTTATACCTTCTAACAATTTTTTTTTTTTTGGGGGGGGGGGGGGGAGGAGAAGGTGTTTGGTGATTCGTCCCTAGTAAGGTGAATGCACAAAATAATATCAAACTAAATCACTTGCATATTATAAAAACGTGCAAAAACATGGCAACTGAAAACGAAAACAAATCATTCAAATGAACATAATGAAATATAAAATTTGATGTCTCATTGAAATACCAGATACCATCAAGTATGAATATAATTCAGTGTAAATTAAAGTGTGTTATTTAGAGTAAGTTTCAGTGCTGGCGTCATCCGGTGTAAGTTTCAGTGTCAGCGCAATTCAGTGAAAATTTATGAGTAAGTGTAATTCAGTTTAATTTTAATTTTCGGTGTTGGTGGGATTCTGTGTAAGTTACAGTGCTAGTGTGATTCAGTGAAAGTTTGTTTTATCTGCTCTATGTTTAAATACTGGTACGTACAGTTAGCAACAACTATTCATACCACATTACCACTTGTAAATTTGATGTTTTTAGTGTTTTGTGTAACTCCAAAATGTAAGGTGGATTGGTTGCATTACGGCCAATGTTGAATACTTTTAGATGCAAGCTTTGCCATATATCACATTCTCAAGAAACATAAATCGGGAGAAATCTATTTTTCACGTACTTAAAAATTAGTCGGGGAAATAATGATTTATTTGTTTTTGTAACTGTACATCATTTAACAGACATGTATGCATAATTAGAATATCCTAGCTTCTTTTTTCATTATTGTCTGTTGATGGGAGAGCTTGGCTGTTCCTGCATTTACTAAGCCGATGGCAAAGAGGGATTTCAGTCCTCGGTGAGTTAACATTACATCTGTTTGTCAAGCATTTTGAGATGCCATTCAGAGTTATTAATGGACGGCTATTTGACCATTTGCAGCCTTCATTATCCAATCATCACCCCACTCCAGCTCCATCTATCAAACCCAAAATGACCCATTTAGCGGCCGGACCGCACCCCGCATCGCCATCGTCTTCGGCAAACATCTCGCCTGGCGTATTAGCCGACAGCGAGAGAGAGCTGGAGTAACGCATTGATAATGGTCACCTGGGCAAGGCGTTGCCATGGAAACTGAAGAGTGTGTATTATTAAAGGCTCTGTGCGAGCCATCCAATTAGACCGGCACGGTGGAGATTTGGGCAAATTGACAGAATTTCTTGCGTATCAAACGTAATGATTTCTACGAGTCTAATCCTTCTTTTTGAAAGCTAATGGATACATGTATGCATGCGGCTGACATGTACATGTATCCATTAAAACTAAAAGCTTTAATGAACAGCTCCCATTTATATCCATCTATTTCTTACTAACATCTGTATCAGGGGTCCTTGCATTTCATGAAATTAAAATTCTCTCATTTCTCCTTGACTTTGTGTAATTGTTTTTCTTCAAAATTGCTGGAAATCACATTCGCTGAAACCATGTGCTACTGCTCCACATTATCTGCCTATGGTAAATGGATCTAGCATCATTTATTTGGAGCACTTAAAGTTAAGACAATCAATATCAGTTTCATTGGAAGTTCCTGAACCTGTAAATCTAGTTAGCAGATATCATATGTATATATTTGAAGAGGTAATTTTGCCAATTGGCGTTTATCAGTTGAAAGCTGTCAATTCTATTATCCATCTTCATAAACCAGACTTCAATAGTAGCTTTTCTAAATACAATTCATAGAACATAATCATGCCATGCATCAAGAAGGCATATATATTTTATTTTTATTCATTAATGTTATTTTGTGTTTTTTAGTAGCATCTTTGCTCTCTTTTTAGGGCTGGAATTTGCAAATAATGGACCTGAGATGCTGGTCATTTCAGCTTCACGTTACCACGGTGACGGATAAGTGTGAAAATGGCAGACCCCCTCACTATCAGAAAAGCAGAGAAAGAGAGACGAAAAAACGTGCCAATACAGAAAGGCAGATATTCACTTGTGAGCAACCCCAGTTGCACATGAACATGACATCGCCATGGAAACGAGGGTAAATCATCTCGACCGTTTGTAATATCTAGGTCGCCAGACAGATATTGAATTAAAAAATATGGGGTAAAAGAAAAACGGTGTAAAAGAGGGGAAATGTGAATGGTCTTCCACAACTGCCAGTTTTCTGGCATTTTGATGAATCATTA